TATTCCTCCTTTTCAGACGAGGAAAGTGCAGCACAGGAAGAATGGGTGCCCACAAACGTGAATTAGGTTCCCTATGGAACCCAGCCGGGCCTCAGATTCCTGATTCTTGCTGTGTGAGTTCTCTCCTGGTGCGAGAGCGGTCAAGACAGTCAGCAGGCTTTAATACCTTCCCGCTGTTGCCGCCCTGCTCTGCCATGCCAGGTCCTAATCTGGGACCCACACCCACAGCAGCAGCCCTGGTCCTTTCCTGGTGTCCCTGGGGAGACGGCTCTGAGTGGGGTTAGGTGTCATGGAAGGGACGGGTACTCACGTCACTTTCTATTAAGGAATTCCTCAGGGCCAGCACCATGTCTTTGTCATCGGTGACGGACAGCTTGCAACCCTTGAGGAACTCTCGGTCCAGCTTGTATTCAAACTGTCACAGAAGAAAGGCAGAGGAAGATGGGAAAGGGGGACAGGCACAGGAGAAAGCCAACCTTTGATCAAACCCGTAAGGAGGCCGCCTCTTGAAGAGGGCTTGCTACAGAATGGGGGCAGAGGCCTCCTGGCCCCTCACTTCCTGCTGAACTCCTCCTTCCCAGCCCCAAGGCCAAGACCAAGCCCCCCCAAGCCTGCTCGCCTCCAGCCCCACCCCAGCCTCGCTTAGGACTCCGAACCATCCGTGTGTGGGCCCAGCTGTGGGAGCCAGGCTCTGAGGCCAGGTCTGCTTCCTGAGCCGGCCTTCTACTCCCACAACCCCTGTCCTTGGATCTCAAATGGGCTAGGTTAGCACCCTCGATGGTGGTTATCATGACTAATTATTGCTTTTCTGTCTCAGGCGTGTCTCTTCTCTCTCACATCGCTTTGCTGCAGGGAGGACTTGGCGGCCTGGAGGAAGTCCGGTCGGTCAGGGATCCACCTCCAGTGGGCTTTGTTGGCTTCGTACAGCTTCTTGTAGTCCAGCTGTTTTTAACAAGAGGAAAACAAGTCGCATCAGTCAGGGGGCTGAATTCCTAACCACACGCATGGCACAGAGGGACTCGGCTTGCATTTTCACATACAACAGATCGTGGTTCTTTATGCAAGAGAGAGCCCCAGTGAAAATTTCTCTACAATTTATGCAGCTGGTCAGCCACTCAAGAGGTCTTCTTGTGGGATCCTTTGGTCCCAATAGGGGCTAACATGTTTAAAGGTCTCTGGGGGAAAAGATTCTACAATCTTTCCAGTTCTGCCAGTGTAGCTTAGTCATCTTTAGAACACTTGACCACTTTTAACTTCTAACTAAATTCAGGCTTAATTAAAACAATATTAAACATTTTTGTAAATTCTTTTGCACCAGGCGCTTTTCTAAGTGCTTTATAATTATTAGCTTATTTAATCTTTGTAAGAACTGCATGCAGTAGGCAGCTGAGGAACTGCCTAGAAGGGTTAGTAACCTGCCCAAGGTGAGACAGCTAGTAAAAGGTGGAACTGGGATTCAAAGCCAGGCAACCTGGCTTTAGGGTGCCTTTAGAATTAGACCTTCATCTGAGCCGCAGAACTGGCTGCCTTGAGCCAAATCTGAGGCACAGAAGTGTCTGCAATTTAATTTGTGTCCTTGGGAAGAGCCCTCTCTATCAGGCACATTCTTTCCTCTCTCTCTCTTTTTGTCAAGGGTTAATTTGCACACAAAATGTCCATACATCTATGTATACTACTTGATGAGTTTCCCCCCATGTTATTGTGAAATTTTTCAAACATACGACAGAATTGCAAGAATCTTATAGAGAATACCCACCACCTGCATTCTACAATGTGCATCTTACTGCAATTGCCTTTCCCCACATCCATCCTGCTTCCCATCCCTCAATCCATCCTCAGGACATCTGTAAGTCACCTGCCAGCCCCTACAGGCATTTCAGTTTGCTGGCCCTAACAAACGTATGTTCTCTCTGGCACTAGTGGGCGCTAGTTGGGTTATAATGGTTTCATATTATATATATGTATATATATATTTTAAGCTGATACTCATCTAAATGCACAAAAATGTTTCTGTGGTTGAGGCTGTAAGATGCCCCACTACAAAGAAATGAGTCAGCGCAGGGAGATCTGAGCAGAAGGAAGGCTTAGGCCAACTCCTGACAGCACCAAGTGGTTAAATTTGTTTTTGTCCATAAAGAACAGGCTCTAGGGTTTGGGGCAGGAGGAGAATATGGAGGGTGGAGGGAATGAAAGATACTGAGATACTTTCTAAAATGCAACTCTCATTTCAGAATTAAGTCTCGTATTTCTCAGCCACCTAGCACCAAGGCTGAGTGGGTGTAATGACTGTGGCACAGGATGGCCACCCTGGCTCTTCCCTGTTGACCTCTGCGAGAACCAGAGGCAGCATGTAGATTTCAGCGTCCTTATGCACACTCCTGGCACCTAACTCTTGATCTGGACTCAATCGCGGGAAGAGATGTAAGAGACCCCATGTCCTGCAGAAGCTGATGAATCCCCTGTTAGGCTAGGGGGGAAGTTTATGGAACTTACGTTGGTGTTGACTTTGTAGGCGTCCTTGGCTGCTTTGATATGCACAGCATCTGGCTTAATGGTGCAGTTGGACTTGTTTCTTTGGTAAACTTCTTTGTATTTCAGCTGTGGGAGGCAATACAATGACCAGGTTAACTTTTGATAGCAGTCTACTATGATACTTAAAAAAATAAGAAATTAAAACCATGATTATAGTACACACTGCTCTTTAAGACAGAATGAATCTGTGGGTAGAAAGGTTGTGGCCATGCAGACATGTGCGTTCCTGTCTCAGATCTTAAAACCAGCTCCCAGGACACACTGAACGTGCTCACTAGTGTCACGGTGGCACTTACGTCCCCTGAGGTTGTGCTGGAAGGGCCAGCTGCACAGCTTTCCCTGTATGTTCTCCCTTTTCCAAATCAGAAAATTCCAAGTTCAGAACATCTTGAAAACTGCTGATGGAAGCGAAGCTCCTCCCACCCAGATGGAATGAGTCTTGCCCTCCTTCTGTACCCCCCACAGTTCCAGCTGTTATCACCTCATGTGGTAATTATTTGCTTAACTGTCTATTCTTTCCATTAAGCTGAACTCCTCCAAGGGCAAAGACTGTGTGTCATTCATCATCTGTTTCTAGTGTCAGGCACATTTGTTCCTGGTGTCAGGCACAAAGAAACCCAATACATATTTGATGAATGAGTGAACGGATGGATGGATGGATGCAGTCATCACTATCATCACCGCTAGAGCCACATCTGGCCAGTTTGGGCATAGGAGGGTTTGGATGAGAGGGAGAGTGTCAGGGAAGGCTTAGTCTCAGGGCCCAACAGGTAGTTCCCCATCCTGGGCCCAGGTTTTCTAGCTTCACCCAATTCTGCTCCTCGTGAATTTCAGGGCCCTGGAGCCTCACTTGGGTTTTCTCACTAATTGTTGCTGAGGGATCCCAGGTGTTAAAGTGGTTAAATTTGAAGTGAAACTGTTCTAAGGAAGTCTGGTAGCATTACTAAATTTGCTTGATCACAATTTTCTGTACTCCACCACACACATAAATCAATATCTCCAGGGGAAAGGCCCGGAAATCCATATTTTTCAGCCATATCTCAGGTTATTGTTAGAATCAGAAAATGTGGGAGAATGGACACCAAAATGCTTCATTTTTCTACAGTGAAAGGGGAGGGCTGCTCTGCATGAAGAATTGACCTGACAGATGCTTATGAATACCCGGTGTCCATGTTTGAAGTGCCAAAACTTAGTTTAACACGAAAAATATGAAAATTTTTAAAATACATTTCTGCCTTCATAAACGGTGTATGAATGTATTTAACATTTTTTCATGGCAGCTCAGGGCCAGCATTGTGAACACATTTATTCAACTATCAGGGAATTCCTGAGCACCAGCCGAGGTCAAGGCTATGGGTAAGGATGCCTGTACTCCACAGCTGCCTTTAATATTCTCTCCGGTGCCATGTAGCCATGAATTTCCTTAATTTTTTTTTTAAACAAACAATCATGACAGTTTTCAACCACGGAATCTATCTATATATCTGGAAATTTATGAATACAGTTTCTCCTTAAATTCAGGATATTTGAATTTAATGGCTACCTTGTTCTTCTTAGTCAAGATAAAGTGTATAGAGTATTCATAGCATTTATGGCATATTGCATTTTTCAAAATGGTCTCTACAACTTCCCCGCCCCCCCCTTTCTACAATGTAACCCTGCCATTTGTTCATCCAGAGGTGGCATCTATCTCTTCACCCATTGAATCTGGGTATCCACTGTGCCCAATAAAATACAGCAAAAGTGTCTCTTGTCAGTTCTAGGAATAGCCCTTAACTGGTCTGGAAGCTTCTATTCCAGCCTCTTGGAACCCACCCACTGTGCTGTGAGATGTCCAAACCACACGGGGGTGGGGGGTGGGGGAGCTGTCTATGCAACAGCAGAGCTCCAGCCCAGAATCATCATCAACGACCAGCCATGTGAGTGAGCCTTCTTGAGGTGCTGGCCCACCTGAGCCTCAGCTGTCTGCCAACAGCATGTGGGATAGAAGATCCACTCGGCTGTGCCCACTCAGCTCACAGAATCACGAGGGGGGAAAATGATTGTTTTAAGTTGCTAAGTTTTAGGGAGATTGTTACACAGAAATAGATAACGGAACCAGGTTTTGTTAGATCACATGAGAGAGGCCAAGCTGAGAGGGACCGCGAAGCCATTCTGATACTTACATCACTGACTTCATCTTTGACCTTCCGGACATGCAGCAACATGGGCGTGTCGTGGATTGTGGTGTAGCCTCTGGGCTTGGCCTTGTTGTATTCCAATTTGTAAAGTATCTAAAGGAGATGAAAAAGCAGAAAGAGACAATGTTATATATCTCCATTTACAGTGCAATGTAATGTGACATTATAAGTTTAAAGGGCTTTTGTGAGTGTCTATAAAGGTGAGTGAAGTCTATAAATTCAACAGGTGCTTTTGTGTTTTCTGCCAAGGCCCTGGTGCTTCTGAAATGGGGTGTCTCCCAATTTGGGTGGAACAGTTCTTTATTGTAAAAGTTCTGAGCATAGCAGGACATTTGGCACCCTTGCCTCACTCCCACTGAATGGCAGAAGAGTCTTCTGGACATTGTGACAGTCTAGAATACCCTCCACATTTGCAAATGCCTCCCGAGTTTGAGAATCTGTTCAGTGTTTCTTGTACTTACATCACTGATTTGTTTGTTGACTTTTGTAGTACGCAGGTGTTCCGGAGTGTCCACAATTGAGGTAAATTTGTCCTTAGATTTTTCATACTTTTTCCTGTACTTGATCTAAATTGTGGAATAGAAGACCAAGTTAACTTTAAGCAGTGGAAGAGAGGGCTTTAAGGAATCTAATGTTCCCCCTGAGAGAGTCCCACAGCAAATAGTAGGATTATTATACAAGCCACAGATGTGGGGGAATAGGGTCATGCTTTCTCTTTAAATCCTAATTGAAAATGTTTAATATAAATCTGTACTTGATAGCAAGCTTGCAATGGAGTGAGAAAATAACAACAATAAGTGATAATCCCATACATTTTGTACATGCAGAAACTGAGGCCGAGATGGGGTAAGAGACTAAACTTAGGGTACATGTAGAGTGAATCTCAGAGCCAGGACTAGACCCTTAATCTCTGGACTCTGACAAGTAATGATTCACTCACAATACAGGGTGGGGCAAAAAGTAGGTTTATAGTTCATATGGAAAATAATACCATAATTAGATTTACAGTTGTGAGTATGGAAGATAATACAATAATGAATAAATACTAATATAAAAATAAACTGTGTTTCCCATACAACTGTAACCCTACTTTTGCCTGATCCTGTATGCTGCATCGAATATGTATGACCTCTTAAGATATGTTTCCATATCAAAGATGCAATAGATGTAAAATAAAAAAAAAACACAAGTATATAGAGTTTAAAGTATTTATCATTTTAGAAAAGACATTCATTTTTGTAATTTTCAAGTCATGATTTTTTTCATGCACATAAGCTGTTTCAAGCAGCACAGATACAGAGAGCACAGCAATATCTCATGCACAACTATCTGATGATCATATCAGGACAAAAAATAGTGGCAGGCCAATAGGATATGCCTAGGGAGAGCTCATTCCCCTCATTTCATATGCTGATGATGTCACTCTAAAGTGATAAAACAAGTTCCTAATACAAAAGATTGATTAAAACTTTTTTGGTATGGGGACAATGGCATTTTATTAACATTGTATCTGGTAGTTAAGCAATCATCACCATTTTTTGCTGCTTCAAATTTACCTTTCAGCATATGATGGAAAGGCAGTGGTGGTGTGCTTCTACTGACCTTGTGGGAAGGTAATGTTATCAGCAACACTGTTAACAAGTATGCAAGAGGACGGAAGTGCCTGAAATAACCTAACAGATTCAGCATCAAACTCAAGAGGGGCCATGACTATGTACAATTGTAAAAGAGCTGCACTGTAATCCTCATCTGTCCTAAATGGTACACTTGTAGTGATCATTGAACAATGGCCAAAATTAGATAAAAATACTAAATATTCAGACCTTTTAAATGCTGCTGAATCTATTTAATATACCCAGTCTCTCAGGAATCTATTTGGGGAGGGGGCAAATATTGAAAAATATCAATGAATGTTATACCAATTTGGAAATAAAGTTTGGAAAAGTCTCAGCTAATCTTACTAGGAGTTCCCTAGGTGTCAGATGATATACAGATGGCGTCATCACAGTGGCGGCCACATCCAGTGTTCATTTACCAGGAATGAACATTTATGCAGCTTTATCATGTGAAACCATGGGCAGGGGGCAGGAGGCAGGGAAAGGAAGTCAAGGAAAGCATAAAGATGAATGTCCCCAAGACTTCTTCCCATCACATCCGAAATTACCTGGCTCCACATGTATGTGTTGTAGAGGGCAGTCAACATATCTGGACGCAGAATTTCATTACATCCTCGTTTCAGAAGCATCTTGGCACTAGATTTATATTTTCTCTGTTCATGCAAAGAGCAGTGAAGCACAAAAGAGACTTAAGAACATGGCTCTATATCCCCATCACCTCTGAGTGAAGAGATGTAGGCAGACACACTGTATGTGCTCACATATACGTGTGGGTGAAGACACCGAATATATTACAATGCCAAGCAGAGTGACTGCAACACCTGCAGTTGACCATCCATCATCCTTGTGAATGGGGAATGAATGACATAGGAAATGCCTTATAGGAAAAAGGACATCATTGGAGTAGGAAAATATGGCAGGGAGTTTTGTTTTCTTTCCTTCCATGAATTTGCTTCTTTGTTTTTGGTTTTGCAACTCAATTTGCAATTTACAGCTGCATGCTGAAAACAGGGCTTCCGGAGGAATAAAGGGTGGAAGGACGCAGCTTTCCTTTTCCTCTTCACTGCAGCACATGTGAGCACACAGAGCATGGACTGGCACACTCAAAGAGCTCATGGGCTCTTTGGGTGGCTGGACAGATACTGTGAAACAGAACATCCCAATATCATAGGCAGAACCTATGACATCCTTGCAGCAGACAGGACAACATCTCATGAGAAACCTGGAGCGCAGTCCTGCCTGGGCTGGCCAACCAGCCCCATCACAGTACCTGACTGATCTGGTCGCCTGCGATCTTAGCCAGCAGATGTCTAGGCTCATCGACTACCAGGTGGTATTTATCTTTCCGCTGGTGATAATCAGCTCTGTATTTTTTCTGCTCGGACATCAGATCAAATTATAGCAAGAGTACAACCTCAAGGCTACACAGATACGTCCCCAGATAAACACTCCAGAGGACCAGAAATATCTCATTTTGGGAGGTGGGCGCCCAAAGCATCCGGGAGGCAAAGAGAGTTAAGTGAGGGAAGATTGCCTGGAGAGGGCTGGGGCTTGGGATAGATCGGATTTATGACACCAAATTGGAGGACCTTGTGCCTAAACAGTTCCCATCTCTACATAGGATGCCATTAGTAATGTTAGGATTTATGGCACCTTACATTGTATTTAAAATAAGGCATGATAATCTACAGGTCTACAATCTAAAGCTGTGAGAATCAAAAGGAATACTCATGAAAAATTCTAATAGTCTTCTAATGCTAGTTAGTTTATTTAATTATAAAAGAGACCTGGAAATCCTTTGTGAGTATGAAAAATAGAAATAAAATATATCAAGACTGTATTCTAGGAATCTACTAACAGTAATTCTTCAGAGTTGTTCCACCTGGAAATCTACTGAAAATGAACAAAATCAAATTAAAAAGGGGAAAAAAGTCATATATTGAAAAAAATATACCATTGGTTACATTACCATTTTTAGATACATTTTACTAATTTTCTAACATTGTTCATGAATTCATGTAAATCTGTGGAATGTCCAAAGATAGGAAATTAAATATAAAACCATCCAAACATTTAAGTTAATCAATAGCTTGGTTATTTCAGTCATTTTAAGCTAAATTTAACTTAAATTATTACAAAGATAGTTCCAGGAAAGACTAGGTAGAAAATAAAAGAATATTTTGGGGACAAATGGCTACTTCTCTGCACCAACATATGAGTAAACAATGGCAATACAATTGAATGCCAAATCACAACAATCCCTTTAGGGGTGGCTTTTCCAACCACTGCCATTTCTGTGCCATAGTAGAGATGCTAAATTAACCTTGAACTTCTGTGTCTCCCAATTCTACACAGTATTCTGCTTTAGGGAGTTCAGCTGATAGTCAACGAAATCCTTTACCTCCTTGCTGTCATCACCCAAAAGGCTGTGCTGCCCTGTGCTAGCGGGAACAGAGTGGTGATGGCTGTGGGGCCCTCCCACCACTCGGCACATCCCTTCGCTTGGTCTTGTTCATGCTTTTGGCAGAGCCCATCAGAGGGTGACTTTATAAGAGTCTTTCCAGATCTTTATCTTGAATCAACACTTAGAAAGGCTTTTCTGTCATTTTACTTATTGGGTTGTAATCAAATAAGTCTATAGACTTCGGAAGGAACTGCATAGGGTTAATTGGGTCAGGTCATACATACCTCATTCATCAACTGAGTTGCATACTTGAAATGCCTATTGATTGGACAATCGGCTTCATACTTGAAATTTGACTTTGTCCTTTCAAATATCTCCTTATACTTATACTAGAGAAAACAGAATGTGGTTAATTGATAGCAGGCTGTGATTATCTTAAGAATGAGACATGGCTTTTAGTTTATCATACAATTGTGATAATTTCCTCATAGAGTTAATAAGTAATTACTAAATGCTTACTGTCTCCCAAGGCAATGAAGGGTATATCCACCTGGATTTCTTGAAAACTCACTCCAAAATATATTTTTTACTGAATGGATGAAAAACAGATCTATTTTCCAAATTAGGCAAAAATCCAAATCAGTTCCTTCTTTGTTCCTATGTATTATAGTGATTATTATTTTTATTTTGAAGGTATTACCATATGCAGTTGAAAGTAGTTTTTAGTCCATTAGTTTGAAGTAGTTTTTTGGTAATTAATCAGATAATCATAATATTTTAGGGCAGGGATGGGCTAACATTTAGATCATCATCTATTTTTTAATGACCCCATGAACTAAGAGGTTTTTTAAAAAAAATAATTTAAAATAATTGTAAACAAAGAATGCGTGACGGAATGAATGTGGCCCACAAAGTCTACAGTATTAACTATCTGGCTGGTTTAAGAAAAGTTTGCTGACTACTATTTTAGAATTCAAAGAAAGCTAATCCAACAGCTTTATTTTGGAAATAGGAAAATGAGGCCATAAAAAACAGTTATTTGCTTCGAGTCACACAAGTGTGTGGATTCAAATAATCCCACTTTAATCCCGACGTGGTTCAGTGGTTGAGCATCTATGAACCAGGAGGTCTGGGTTCGATTCCTGATCAGGGCACATGCTCAGGTTGTGGGCTCTATCCCCAGTGTGGGGCATGCAGGAGGCAGCCAATCAATGATTCTCTCTCATTATTGATGTTTCTATCTCTTCCCACTCCCTTCCTCTCTGAAATCAATAAAAATATATTGTTAAAAAATAATCCCACTTTATATCCCACCATGTCAACTCTAATAGGGTGAATTACCCAGAGACATATTAATAGGGAGGGAATTCTGGCAGAGATATGAGTTGGTCTGAAATGACCACTTATCAAAGTCAAATAAGTGATATAACTAAATGATAACTATAGTCAATGAGGTCAGCACTAAAAAAAATTGAGATATGCCATTTTAGCGGAGCCCATCAGACAGTGGACAGTTCAGTATGTACTCCAACTACAGGGACTAGAAGTGAAGATCAGGGAGGAAATATGAAAAAGCTATATACTCAGTGTTAATTCTCTCTGTGAGCACTGAAATATGTTAAACGGATGTGGACACTATCCTTGAGGAGATATACCTTGCTGTAGAGAGTCTTGTTCTGTTCAGCCAGAGTGAAGTCGGGGGTATCATAGGCATAGCAACCAATTCCTTTAAGCCAGGTCAAATCTTCTTTGTATTTTACCTGGAAGAAGAACGTCATCAAAAGAGTTTTAAGAACCTATCTCCAAATAGCAGTAGGTTAGGATCGATACACGTGGAACAAATAAAAGTTCTGACCACTGAGACATATAGGATAATAAAGTATCAAAACAATTATTTAAGAGAAGTTTCCAATAATACTTTTTTCTGCTTACTTTATGGTGAATTATATGTGGAAATTTTTATTTTTGATACTAATTAAAACAATTCAAATGTGACAGGTGTACTTTCATAGAGACCATATTGTGAACTTCGCAGATGTATTTTCCTATAGAAAGCTGACATTTCTTTCTAAGTGAGCATCGTTACCTGTCTTGATTGGTTCATGAAGTTGTCTCTTCAATTGACCAAAAGTAGGTTATTGCTTAGATGAAGTATATCACTTCCGGCCATGTAATATGATATAATACATTTGGAAGAAAAATTAGGTTTATAAATTGGAATATATTTTTTCTCTCCCAAGTTGAAGTTCACTCATTTGTCAATGAGTTTCATGATTTAAACATCCATGCATGAGAACCAACATTGAGTCACATGTTTAATCGGTTTTAGTGCAGTTTTTGATTCCCTAAGTCACACGGACATACGAATTTATACGTGAAAATGGAAGACTTGAAGACTCACATCACTGACTGCATCCCTGACTGCCTGGTGGTGGAAATGCTCTGGGCTATCAGGAATGGACCTCCAGATTCCCAGCTGGCTCATGTAGTTCTCCTTGTATTTCACCTGTGGGAAAAACACAAAGTCAGGTATAACATCTGATCCAAAATTAATGCAAAAAAAGTCTACTTATTTCCAGAGAGTTTTAGGGAAGGGAGGATACTTTTTTGTTTGTTTGTTTTTTAATCCTCACCCAAGGATATTTTTCCATTGATTTTTAGAGAGAGTGGAAGAGAGAGAGAAAGAGAAATATCGATGTGAGAGAGGCACATTGATTGGTTGCCTCCTGCATGAGCCCCAACGAAGGCCTAGGCGGGGGAGGAGCCTGCAACCGAGGTTAAGGCTTAGGCGGGGGAGGAGCCTGCAACTGAGGTATGTGCCCTTGACCAGAATTGAACCCAGGACCCTTCAGTCCACAGGCTGATGCTTTATCCACTGAGGCAAACCGGCTAGGGCAAGGGAGGACTCTTTTTAAAACTGATGGTGGCTCATCGAGCCTCACGCAAGTAGATATATGGAGGGACGTACTTTACTGATGTCATCTGTGACTCGGCGATGGTACACAATGTCCAGAGCGTCCTTCACGGTGTGGTATTTCCCTTTGGTCTTTTCAAATGTTTCTTTGTAGCGTAGCTGGAAGGAGAAAACACACATGGATTACGAAAAACTACCGAGTTAAATAATTGAAGGCTTTTAAGCTTGAGGTTTCTCTCAGGTTTTCCCATGAATAAATTTAGGAGAGATTTAAAAACTGATTTCACATCCTGGAAGAGAAAAAGGACATGAGGAGGAACCTAATAAAATCTGAATAAAGCATAGAGTTTAGTGAATAATGTATCAATATGGACTCATTGGTGGTGACAAATGTATGACCGTAATGTAAGGTATTAACAACAGGGGAAACTAGGTGTAGTCTAATTTAATTATCACAATTCTTATCCTCATTCCCCACATCAGAAAACAGTCTCAGAAAAAAAACAGGTTAGGTATACAGAGGCAATCAGCAGGCAAATGACAGTATCAGGATTTGAAACCATGTTTGGCTGACTCCAAGAACATGATTTTATAGGCAAGTGATTAGTTGTCAAGTATTCCCTAGGAAATGCTACCAAAGACTCACAGGAAAGGGCCATCTTCTTCCTAGAAGAGCAACGAGAAGAGTCATAGGCTTTTGGCATTACTCCTAGCTATTACTTTGCCTAACTGGTATTGTTTGTGCCTACTTTTTTTTTTTTTTAAGTTTTTGGATGTGGTGTTTCTTTTTTTCCTGCTCCATGTGTGGGTCAGGACCTTGAACTATGGATATGACTAATCTTTTCTGTTTCTTAGGTACCTCAACCCCCCGCTGTCCCTACCACAGCAGAAGAAAGAAGGAAGGGATGCATACATCACTGGCGTTCCAGTAAGCCTTCTTGGCTCTGATGAGGACTGGTGTGTCTGGGATTGGGGTGTACTTGTCCTTCATCTTTTCATACTGAATCTTGTACTTGTTCTAAGAAATAGAGATAGAAGAGAGAGACAAAGTTAAGTTCAAGTGTTTTCATCCCTCACAATCCGCAACAATGTCACAGATCCACCCCAGGGACACAGTGTATTATGCTCATTAGGAGAATGGCTCCGCCTCCTGTTCTTGATGCTGCTGAGCACCATTTATAGACATGAGCTCTCCTATCAGAGGCAGCAGGTGAAGGATTTAGCGAGCATTTTTTTTCTGTAGCCCAGTGCCTCAGTGCCAAATTCCCAGCTCACCTCGCTGACCAGGTCCTTCACGTCTTTGGCATGCTTCAAGGCTGTGGTCTGGTTTCCAGCGTGATGATGGGGTCTCTCTTTGGTGGCAAGTTCAACATATAGATACTAAATAATCAGAATAGGGATCAGATGTTATAGAGAGAAAACATTTTTTTATTTAGAATTTAGTCTTCTCTATTCAATAGGCATGCACCTGTTGTCCTGTTTTTTTGCTTGTTATATGTGTTCTGTTCATTTGTTTCTCTCTATGTCTCACATCTGGAAACACATATTTGCACTCCAATTGTCTAATAATCTTATTGCTGAGTACAGTTTAATCTAAATCCATATAATACAGAAGGCAGATAGAAGAATAAGAGGATTCTAACAGAGCCTTCAACATATTTTTTTAAAATATATTTTTATTGATTTCAGAGAGGAACATCAATGATGAGAGAGAATCATTGATTGGCTGCCTCCTGCAAAGCCCCCTACTGGGGACTGAGCCTGCAACCCAGGCATGTGCCCTTGGCAGGAATCGAGCCCGGGACCCTTCAGTCCGAAGGCCAACGCTTTATCCACTGAGCCAAACCAGCTAGGGCCTTCAACATATTTTTTATCCATTTTTGCCTGAATGCATGAATTGTAATTTCATTTGTCTGTGGAAAATAAATGGGTTCTATAGAATAAGTCAAGCAATTTATTTTCACTCCCTGGAGTCCACAGACTCCTCATCCAATAACAAAAGTTGAATAGAACTTGGAAAAGAAGACATGGCATTTACCTGCTCATGTAAAACAAACCATGGTTAGGATGGCCCAGACAAGCACTGCCTCTTGAAGTTAATAGGCATTCAGTTGCATCAAGGACAACCAAGTGTGAGAGGCTGCTGCTGACCAGGAGTGGTCAGACACCCACAACTGCCCCCTGTGATGCCAGCGTGGCGGGTTTATGAATCTTCCTTTACTAACTTTACCTGACTCTGAAGCTTCTGCCCTTGCTTGGCTCTTAGAAGATCAGGTGTATCAGGAATTGAAGTGAAGATGGACTTCTGCTTCTTGCCTTTAGCTCTGTACACCAGCTGGACACAAAACAGTCATCAGTATCCTTTCTGCTCCGTGGACATGTTCTCTGCAGATGCCTTTATTACCTACTTCATGGAAGAAGCAGGGGCCGCCCCACTGCAACACGCTCAGTTTCTTCCCGATAAACCAATATTTTATGTACCTCCCTGGGCTTCCTTTACTTTTTCCCTCTTTTATCAAAATACACTCTGTAGCTTGTCCAAGAGTCACGCCTCCTGCTGTGATCCTGGTTTCTTCTTACTTGTCCCTTCTAGGACCCAGTTCCAACATTATTCCTTCCCGTCCATGACCTCCAGTTTTCCCAGCCCTCTCCCTTCATCTGCAAACAGACTCAAGTCCCTCCCTTCATTGTCCAGCCTCTACCACTGGCCTTGTTCCTCTTTTTTACAGCCAAGCAGACTATGCGTTTTTCCCCCCTTCTCAAACAGTTTAATAGCAAATAAACAAAGGAAGGTACCACACTTGGCAGATACAAAATGACTTTTTGTCCGTGTGTCTGTGCAATTAAAACAGATTGAGGTTCCCCATTGAAACAAAAGGAAAAGTGCACACAAAAAGGAGATTCCTTTTAAACGCATACTCCCTTGCTCCAAACTTGTAACATTTTTCTCTTCTTTTTAAATCCACTACACAAATTCTGTGATCAGGTCAGAGAAGAGACAAGGGCTCTTCCTGCCTGTTTTTAAAAAAACATTAAAGTCCATAATTTTCTACATAGTACAATGTTCTTTTTCTTTCTTTTGATTAATCTCTCAAGGCGACAGTTCGGCTTCCCTCCAATCACTCCAATGAAGTCACTCTCAATAAGATTATAAAAAACTTTACAATGGCCAAATCCAAGAATGCTTCTCTGTAGCAACTGAAACCCTGAGCAGTTTCATTCCCGAGCACTCTCCTCTGCCTTCCATTCCACCATTCTCCCTCCGGGAGCAGCTTCCTTCTGTGGTTCTGCCCTCCCCTAGGCTGCTATTCGCTGAAGTCAAGGGTTGACCCTCAGTGCCAGGAAAACAGATGAAAATGAGGGGCACTCAAATACACTGAAGTAGTTTGGAATTTATTGAGCGGGAATAGAGCAGGTCGCCAGTGAAGACTTTTTAAATGACACTACCACAATTAGGGTTCCTGATAGCAGGAATTAAAGAGAGACGTTTGAAATAAATTCATTTGGAAACTACAGCAATAGTGTAAGACAGAGGGACTTTCCAATCTATAAAATCATGAAAACTCACAGCAGTCCTGGTCCTAGGTAGAGCAAATATCAATATCCTTATCTTATTAAAAGGGGACAAAAGTAAACTGAGGCAACGTGAGATCAATTGACTTGCTTAGACGTGTTGGTGACTCTGTAATTAAGGCAGAAGGGAGATCTTTGCCTCATGTAGTTGCCTGAAAAATGCTCCCTAGAGGAACACATCCCTGGTGGTGACATCCTTACCTCACTCAGATGTGTCTTCAGTTCTTGCACTGTTCTGTACTCCGGAGTGTCAAGCACCACTTTGTATTTGTCTCGCATCTTCCTTGCATTATCAGTGTACAGGTAATTAGACTGAAAACCAAAAACAGAAGGAAAATAAAAGTTGAGTCATCATTCAAGGAACTGCATGTCATGGTCACCCATTGTCTTTCAAATGGAGGCCTTCGCAGGCAGGGACAAAACAATTGTCATCTACCTAAGCTCATTACCTTTGTGAGGAGTCATGGTCATGACTTGCTCAAGTGGGTTAATGTCAAATTTCCCTTTAAAAGTGGCTGTAGGCAGATGTTCTGCCCAGCTCCTGGAAGCTGTGTAGGGGTAGCCACGTGTTGTGAAGATGGGCGGGCACTCACCCAGAGCTTTCGCAGGAACCGGGAACGGACCATGTCAGGAGTGTCCATCAGGAAGCAGCCCATTCCCTTCAGGATCTGCAAGTCCTCTTTGTATTTAATCTGTGTGGCAAAAATAGAAATACAGCTGGTCAGGAGCAAATATAAATCAAGAATAAATAAGACAGAGTAGTGAAGCTTCTTTTTACTGATATATCTTTCATTTTGATTCTACACATCCACCTTGTACTCTTAGTCTGTTTGCACGCAAGTAAATCACAGATTTTGAAATTTAAATCTCTAGCCCTGATCCGAGGAGAGGACACAGCTATTATTTTATGACTGCATTGACGGGAGAAGGGCTTCGATGGGATAAAGTGGTCTTTTAGGAGAAGAAAAGGTCCAGGGAAGAAAAAGAAACAAATGGCAGCAGGAAGTTGCTTAAGCGGGTGGGAGCAGGGATGAGCAGGAGAAAGTTACTAAACATGAGCTGAAACAGAGGCCACTTAGAGAGTGAAGAGTTGGTAATAATTCAGGGTTGCATGAAGAATGGCGGCAAGTGATTCTTGCATTTCCCAAGTGGTCCCCTTACTACTGTTCCCAACACTGGTAAAATGTGGGGTCCTGTATCCACACTATTCACCTCCAAGCTGTACATTCAGTTTAGAGGTCCTTAGTGGAAAAGACCACTGATCGGCTTAAATGCTGAAAGAAGCCATCCTCTTCCTAACAGTCTTCCAGAAAGACCCTAAGAGATGCTTACGTCACTGGTGATGTCTCCCACGTAACGGCAATGGAGCACTTGGGGTGTGTACGGCAGCGAGATCATGTGACCCTGCATCTTGAAGAAGTCTGATTTGTAGATCAGCTAAAGAAAAAAGTGTCCAGAAAAACACATGTTAGTGACATTCTGAATGGCTGAAAGTCACCCCTGGGTTCCCTGGCCTGTCTTCTCTCCTAAAATAATAGCCACCTCACTGACAGCTTCTTGTGTCTTCTTGACTTGGCGGAGTTCAGGTGTGTCAGGGGTTGTGTGGATCTTGTCTTTGAGTTTGTGGTACAGTTGCCGATACAGCCTCTACATTGGAAGAAACACCATTTCAGGTGGTCAATGTGGGATACTGACTGATCAATAAGCAAATATCAATATTTTCTCCACAGAATTTACATTCACAGTACCTCACTGGTAACATTGTTGACCCTCCGGACATTGACAAACGGAACATCATTGGGGCCAAGTGTATACCCATTTGCCTTGAGGTGTTCATAAACTTCCTTGTACTTGAACTGCAAAAGCAAAGTCAGAATGAGATTACTGATGGGCAAACAAAGAGCAGGGTTACATTTCTCAAACCAAAAAGAGCTGTCACTTTCATTTGAAAATTAGTCTCTAAGCATTAAGTATAAGGAAAAGTCATTGACAAAATTTTAATAATAATTAGAGTCTTGAAAACTATTTTGTTGGCTAGTAAAGCCAGATCCAGAAAGGAATAAAATTCAAGGCTGCCTAGATGAAATCTGTTTGTATACAGTTATGCAAAATGAAAAAAAAAACACCTATATTTTTAGCTGCGATATGACTGGCAAATTAGGAAATGCAAAGAAAAAATAAGAGACTAAAGACTGATGGATGGCTTTACAGATTGATATTGGACTCTCACTGGCCAGCAGATTTGATACACAGAACTCTGAAGGGCAACATGGAAGGGAGAGCTTATTCTCCAGCTGATGGCTTATTTATGGGTCTGGTTTGAAGGCCACAGTCACTGGGATAGACTAAACTTCCCTGGGCCTTATCCTTTGGGTAAATGGTACTTTTGAAAAGTGGAGAGGTGGGTGCCTGAGCTAACTCCAGGGCAAAAGCTACAGGTAGTGAGAAGCTATCCTCTGAGCTGTCTATGAAATGGCACAGAGGGTAAATAGTGAGGCAAGTACCAGGGCCAGCAGCCCGGCAAAAAGTTCTTTCTATTCAAAGAAATATACAGGGATGTTATATCTTTTTCTTTTTTCTTAAATATATTTTTATTGTTTTCATAGAGGAAGGGAGAGGGAGAAAGAGATAGAAACATCAATGATGAGAGAGAATTATTGATCGGTTGCCTCCTGCACGCTCTCTACTTGGGATTGAGCCCACAACTGGAGCATATGCCCTTGACTGGAATTGAACCCAGGACCCTTCAGTTCACAGGCTGACGCCCTATCTACTGAGCCAAACTGGCTAGGCTGTTACATCTTTTTCAATGACACACTGCAGAAGGAAGACAATACTACTGCCACACATCAGTAGTGAAGGTATGATTTAAATTTCCAGTACATGGCTTAGGATTGTCCAGGATGCTCTGTGCTAAGGCTAGCAGGAGTAGAAGCATCGGGGCAGCCATGAGCCCCGAGCCAAGGTAACTGAATCACGCAGATGTAATCCCACGGGAGTCCTATGCTAACGCACTGGGCTGTGCAGACACTGCTGACCTAGAGGAGCCAGCCAGTTCACAGCACCCCTGGGAAAGGTGTTGTCTCCCCTGCTCTGCTCCTATCATCATATCATGTTGAACCTTCAGGGTGGGACTGGGGGGATGAGAACAGGCTATTAATGAATATTAGTGCCCCCTCTCACTTCAGACCCCATCTCAATGAGGAGGCGAGCACTCACATAACTGCTCATGTACTGGGTGTCCTTGGAGTGTTTGAAGTGCGGAGTGTCGACTGGAAGCCTGTATCCAGTAGCCAGGGAGCGCTTGCCCGCGTCTCGGTACAGATTCTGCCGAATGAGAAGGACGGGTTAAAGAACATCTACATGTAATAACTGATCTAAGTTAAACAAGTCACATCCTGCTCCTGTTAGGTTTTCAATTAGATACTTAAAGTACTATGCTTACTGAATTACTTTCAGAAAGAAATTGAATAAGCTCTAAGAGACAATTAATCAAATTACTCTCATTGTTTTTTAAAAAGAGAGCAATGAATGCAGAGACTTATAGAAATTAATTCTTCTATGCTTCTGAACATATGCCCAGTTGACTGCATGGTAACTAGCAAGAATTTGGGTTAAGTAGAGAAAACAGTCTACCAAGTGCCACCTCTGTTCTTCACCACACTTTCAGGTAATATTCAAGTTGTCACAAATCTTGAAGACAGTCTTAATTATAAAGCACATCTTTGGAATCTTATCTCTCCCCCACCCCCGCCCCCAAACACAGCTTTGATGTCAGACTATGAAGCGAGCAGGATGCTCATATTACTGGCAGAAGGTGGAAGGGGTTCTGTGCCCTTAAATAGTCTGTCTCTCAGAGGAACTATAGGAGTAAGAACAGTATTTAAAATATTAAAAACCAATTTACTCCTAACTGTCAACATAGGAGAGTAGCAATGAAGGCTGAGACCAAAGGCGCACCATCAGGTAACACAGAATAGAGATCTTCCACGTGGAGTGGAGTCCACATTCCTTCTTGTCTGAGTTTCACAACAGCAATTTCTAGCTTTATCTCTTTTTGTTAGTAATCTTTTATGATCATATGCCTTGTCTTTGTCATTTTGGTTTTAAGCTTTTTGAGAGCAGAAATAGTAGAATGGCCCTCTTCTTTGTAACTTGTAAACATGGCTCCAAAAATGCCCATTGCATGCTTAGAAAGATCTGGCCAGCCAAGAAGGAAGACAGGCTATGCACTGCTTTTTGTTTTTTCGTAACTCATGTGAATGGAACAGCATGTACAGTATGGAACAGCATTTACAATGTACAAGGTCAGGCTGAGAAGATGCCCACGCTGAGGTGCTTGGACAGAGGCCAATGACCCGGCGTTTGTAAGCTGCATCCAGGACACCTGCCAGGCACTTCATAGCGTTTTCACAGCTCACCTCACTCTGGAGCTTGTATGCGTGAAGAGCCCGGTCCAGATCCACGGTTTTTGTAGTTGGAGCCACTTTGCCTCTGACACTGTGCACGTAGTCGTAGTGGTAGACAGCCTGGTGCAGAGAGAAGCAGAGTGCACTGATTCAGACTCTGGCAGCATTGTTAGAAAGAAGCAACGTAAAAGGAAACCCAAGTCTCTCTTTCTCTCTCTCTCTCTCTCTCTCTCTCTCTCTCTCTAAAGGAAGGGTAGCCTGCGTCCCTTTGCCTAAAGAATTCTGTCTGATATGTTACTGTGCCTTGTCCAATAAGATCAGAGCCAGGGTGTGGCCCCAGACTGAGAAATAAGTGGAAGAGTTGGCTCAGGCATTAGAAGAGGAAGAGTGGCCATTTTGGCACGCCAAGTTCAAAAACAGTAGGTCTCAATGTTCTAAGTCACTGGTGGGATAGTTTTATTTATTAACCTGTGGGGTTAATAAAGAAAGAACAGCATTGTGCTTGTTCTTCCTGCTCTATAGCAGGCACTGTAGTGGGTGCTTTTCATTCATTTTCTCATTGTATGGGTAAGGATGCTGAGACTTGGAAGATTAAGTCCTTTTCCTAAACCTCATTGATTGGTATAGGCTGGACTTCTTCCACACCTCTAATTTCAGAGCCTGCTTCCTTCTCATTAGTTTGCTCTAACTTATTAGAAGATCTAGACAGTGACACATAAACTTGCTCTTGATACAAGGATACAAAAAGCAATTTTGGAAGCTATAAAACAACAAGCATCGTATAGACTTAGATCACTTACAACTCCCCCCCAGGGAGTTACCTGAACACATCAGGTCTTAGGAAACAAGAGCAGAATCTTTTTTTTATTTTTCAACTACAGTTCACATTCAATATTATTTTATATTAGTTTCAGGGGAAGAGCAGAATCTTAAGTACTTTCTTTCCCAGTGAGAAAAAGCCAGGCACTGCCCACCCAGTCTTTGTGTTTGAAACTTCTGCTTGAATGGTGGCCTCTGTCTTTATCACTGGCCACAGTCACATCCCCGATGGGCACTTACGTCACTTATTTGTTTCCTGCTTTGGACAGCCTGGACGTAGACTGGAGTATCCATGACCAAATTGTAGTCATTCCTTGTTTTCTTCACATGAGCTTGGTACTTGATCTGCCGAGAGGAAGAAAATAAGCCTGCGTTAGACCACTCATTATATTGGAGACTGCTGGTTTTCACAGCAGTTTTGGTTGTTTTTTAACTCCTGGCATTTACATTCACCAGCATTTATTCAATAGACCAGGGTGTGTTTGAAGTTTATGACAATCAATGTAATCAAAGCTAGGAGGTCTGACAATTGCTCTTCTAGGAATATTTGTTTTCTTACTAACATCTTGAATACGGTATTGATTTTCCTAGGAAATCCTCTCTTTGCCAATAGATCCCGTGTATAGCATCACAAACTCCTAATAAATTATATTTTCCTATAATGACAATTATGTGCTCATTAATACATTCAAAATAGCCCAAAAGGTAGAGAGAAGAGCCACATGCCCCTTCTCCTCCAGAGAACAATGGGACAGCTCAACTGCATTGTTGAATAGGAATGCCATATGCACTCCTGAGAAATGGTTGCTTTCTATGGCTTAGCATCTTTCTCTAGCTCAGCCATCCTCACCATCACTTAAGACACAGCTGGTCTGTGACAATGTTCATAGTTTACATACTCTCGCCTTGACTCTAGACTATGAACAGAAGAAAACACATAAAAAAACAACAACAAAATCAAGGCAAACTCACATCATTGCGCAGATCATAAGCGTGCTTGGCATGGAGAATTTCAGGAGTGTCCCAGACATAGCAACCAATGCCTTTCAACCAGTTGAGGTCATCCTTGTACACAATCTACAGAATTGAAACAGATGAAGGGGGTTGGCAAAATCAAATTTGATCATAATTTTAACCCCAAAGACACGGGCACCCTCTGGACCGAGATTGATTTTGTGGACTGAGAAGCAAAAGGCATTATGCAGTGAGGCCAAGCGGGCCATGGAAACATTGGTACACAGAGCCCTGCTTCCAGGGATACCTTTGAGTTCCAATGGGACCCATGGGTATATAGGAAAGCAGTATCAGGAGGAGGCTGGGTATATAGGAAAGCAATACTGGGAGGAGGCTGAGGTAAAGAAGTGGGTGAGTATGCTTTTCTTTAGGTTGGGCAGGAGGGGCCAGGAGGGTGGGCCTTCATGAGCAATGGGCTTACGTCGCTGATCTGATCTGTGACTTTCCTGACGTGACTGTTGACTTGCAAGTCGGGGTGGCAAATCCACTCATGGAGGCGTAGGCGGTAATCAATTTCACTGACTTTCTTCTGAGAATCCTTAGCAGTAACCATCTCTACCATGTCGGGCACAATGTTGATTTTCATCTTATTCTTTTCGTAAACGGACTTGTACAGGCGCTGTGAAGTTAAAACACACATAAACTTGCTCTTGATACAAGGATACAAAAAGCAATTTTGAAAGCTTTAAAACAACAAGCATTGTATAGACTTAGATCACTTACAACTCCACCTCAGGGAGTTACCTGAACACATCAGGTCTTAGGAAACAAGAGCAGAATCTTTTATTTTTGTTTTTCAACTACAGTTCACATTCAATATTATTTTATATTAGTTTCAGGGGAAGAGCAGAACCTTAAGTACTTTCTTTCCCAGTGAGAAAAAGCCAGGCACTGCCCAGTCTCTGTGTTTGCCACTTCTGCTTGACATGCCACTTACACAGAAAATTGTGCACAGAATCATGGCAATATATGACCTTCTTATATGCCTTCTTATACACTTCTTACACACCTGAGAAGTCACGGTGACCAGCTCACAGCAATCAGTTGGGGGAAGGGCAGGGGCTGGAATTTCCTGACACTTTCTACAGATTCGTGTGGGCTGGAGATGCAGCTGGGGCTGAAATAGCCCCTAGCTCCTCCATATATACACAGTCAGAGCCATATGCACTGTTTAATAGAAACGGTTCTGATTTACAATAGACAACTCTATTACTTGGCTTCAGTTTGAAGTAGGCCTTTGAGATTACTTACATCAATGTTATATTTGCCAACTCTGAGGCATCGCGCTGTATTTGGGTCATCTTCAACACTTCTAGGTAAAGTATAAAGAGCTTTGAACTTTTCATATTCTTCCCGGTATTTGATCTGTAGAGATAAAGCACAAAGAAAGAAACATAGTTTGGGAGAGTAATGGGTCCACATTGTCATAAGAGCATGAGACTGAATGGGAAGATCTCATCGCTGAGATCCAGCCAACATGGGGTCACCACTTCTGCGAGTCCCTTTCCTCATCTGTGCACGGTCATACCTGCCCAGGTTTCCTGAGGCTTAATTCAGACTATATCTGAAAGTACTTTCTAAACTGTAGAGAGCTATACAATTGTAGTTACTATTTGTAATACTTCTATGCCAATAATAGTACTGCTGCTACAACTAACTCATTTAAAAGTTAGTTGTAATTTTATGTAAAAGATTATGTAATTTTAAAATAATCTCTTGCCCTGGCCAATGTGGCTCAGCTGGTTGAGTGTCATCCCATGCACCAAAAGGCCACCAGTTTGATTCCCAGTCAGGGCACATGCCCGAATTGTGGGCTCAATCCCCAGTAGGGGGCGTGCAGGAGGCAGGTGATGGATGTTTCTTCTCTCTCATTGATGTTTTTCTCTCTTCCTTCCTCCATCTTTCTTAAATCAATAAAATAAGCTCTTTTGTAATAATGGCTTTGTTTTTCTTAATCATAAGTGAGAGGAAAGATGTGTTCAGGAATTTCTTTGTTTGTAATAACTGACAAACCTGATGCTTAAGAGACACAATCTTTGAGTTTTACTTTGTACAAGGGTTTCCAAAGATACAGTGCAATCACCTTCTACAGAAAAACCAACTTTTAGTCTGTAAGTTGTATTGCCTATTAACTAAAGCTGCATGATTTCCTGAACTAGGAGGTAAGACCCTACAGAGACTAAGATATATAATCTCCTAGCACATGATAAAATAGCAAGTCTCTCACAGCTCAGAACCCCACATCTCAGTGCAAAAATAGGAGACAGGAGTATTTGTATTAGAATTCTTGCAAATCTCTTCCTTGACTAGAAATCAATCAAAATTCCCATCAGAATTTTTTAGAACATTAGTTCACATGTTCCTTACATCTAACCCATTCCTCAATTATAAAGAAGGTAGTATTCAAAGGCACTTTTAAGAAAAAACAAAAAACTGCTGTTGGAATCCTTCTTTAAAAGGGTTAATTTCTCAGTGTCCCACCTTATTCCAAGAACAAGTTGCCAAGACTCCTGCCTCTGTGACTTTTTCCATGACAAAAATAAATAAATGAATGAATAAGCCTCTGCTAAGTTTTCTAAACTACTATCTACAAAGCTTCTCTTCCGAAATGAAAAGTTTGCTCCTTTGGGTTAGTCTGTTTGCAGTCTTCCAAATAACTGGGGCTTGAAAAAATCATTTGTATTAGTTTTTCTCTAGGTAAGAATGAAATGAATTTCATTATTATATAACAAAGGCTTTTTTTTAAAAAAAATTATGCATCTCTAGGTCCATTAGAGGGTAGTGAATCAACTTAATAGGTCACTAGCATTTTAAATGAATAGAATAGAATTGAAATGATCAGAGTGCATTGTCTTTAGTGTAGCAGTAAACATTTATGTCAGAAGGAACTCACATAAACTTTAGATGTGTGTGTGTGGGGGGGGGAGAGAGAGGGACAGAGAATGTGTGTTGACTTGCAATATAAAATGAATTCCTTACTATGGGTCTTGAAAAAAAGTTTTGAGAAATACTGGTCTAAAATGTTACATAAAATGTTCACAATTAAGGGGTAAAAGTTTCTAAAGAGGTAAAGTTCCTGAAAGAGAACTGGGTTTATTAGAACTGCAATGAAGGTTACAGGAAATTTTATAATAAAAGGTTTTACTTAAGAACATTTTAGGCATAAAGGGTTAAAGGTCACAAGACTTTATACTATATTTAAACAGCCCACAAGATTTAGAATTTTTTTTACAATCATGTCTATACCTAAGAAAAGTTATGCTTTAAAAAAGTAGAATTTCAAAAGATTTAAACTTTTTTTATATTTCATGGTTATGTAGATAATTATTTACTTTTTAAATCATTTATTCTAGGATGGTGTAATGACTAGTTAGTTATAACATTCACTGGTTTATTTTTGTACTTCAACCTACATAATTCTATTGGACAAAAGCCTATTCTGTATGGTATATTATATCTTCTGTCTATCCCCACTTTCAGCTGAAACAGTATATCTGCCATGTCATTTGCGGGCAACCAGCCTAAAAGGCCACAGCTGTTCCTTAATACAGGTGTTTGTGATTCTCTCTAGACTTCAGGGCCCTTGAGAAGAAGAAATAAGTTCCCAGCGTCTGTGACGGCTGAGCGCCTGGAATTATTTGCTGGTGGCATACTCCTATGGAAGTGCTGGGAATGCTTCTGGGCAGCATGTGTTTCAGCCAAAAAGATCCTAGGAGTGGTGAGCCGGGGAGGGCAGGGAGTGGGTGGCAAGGCTGTCACATTTGCACTGGACTTACATTGCTGGCCAGATCCTTCTGGTTCTTGGCGTGTGTCAGGGACATGGTGCTGGAAGGCAGGATGTAGCTGGTGGCTTTCACCTTTTCCCAGGCCTCCTTGTACAGGTTCTGTGGGGGTTAAAAACCTTCTTGTGAATGTGGAAAAATACATTCTGGTTAGCTTCTGAGTAGCAGATTTCCCCGTTTCCCTTCAGACACGCCCTAACAACCTCCAGATCTTCTCACTCTGGAGGATCCAAGTGCCCCTAAGTGAATAACTGGTTTAATGCCACGACCGTAATTTCGTAGCCCATTATTTTGTTTCTACCACAGTACTTATCACAGTTTGATAGTTATCAGAGTTTTTGATGCCATATTCATTCCCCATAGGTCTAAGAATTTCTGGAAGGTGAAAACCACTAACATTAACACACACACACACACACACACACACACACACACACACACACACAATTTACCCTCCCCTACTTTTATGTAGCTAGTGGGAGCTCAAAATACATTTGTTTCCACTCCTACATATTCATTTATCCAGGGGAAATGAAAACTTATGTACACACAAAAACCTATATGCACATGTATTATAGCAGCTTTATTCATAATTTGCAAAATCTGGAAACAATTCTAATTCCTTTAACTGTGAATGGATAAACAAACCATGGGACATTCATGCAATGGAATACCATTCTGCAATAAAAAATAAACTATTGATTTATGCAGCAATGTGCACAACACATAAAGTCAGTTTGCCAAGAGAAGAAAGCCAGGCCAAATGGGTACATACTATATAATTCCATTCACAAGACATTCTGGAAAAGTTAAACTTTAGGGGTAGCAAACATCTCTGTGGATGCCAGGCGAGAAGAGAGGGGCAACAAGAGAGAAATTTGGAAGGGATACAGAATTTTTATGTGTCTGGACTGTGGTGGTGAACACATGACTTTGTGTTTATCAAAAGCCACAGTACTATATACCTCAAATAGTAAAATTTACAAACAAAGAATGAGGAAGGGGGACTAAAATGGAATACAAACTGTAACAAATAAATCTAATTGTATTATACAATGGGTAACAAGACTACAGTGGCAGAAGTGGGGAAGAAAACAACTAATTTAGGTTATTTTGGAAAATATTTTGACAAGGAAAAGATTGAGAAATGATCAGATTAGAGGAGACTAAGGAGGCATGAAAACTAAATACAAAGTAGGATCCTGGATTGTATCTTAAAAAGAAAAGTTACATTAATGAAAAAACTGGTGAAATCTAGATAAAGCATGTAACATTCTAACAATGATAATTTCTTAGTTTTGATCATTGTACTACAGAGAAAAAAACTATGTAAAAAAAACAATGTGGGAATTCTATGTACTATTTTTGAAACTTTTTTTGTAAATCTCAAATTATTTCCAAATGAAGTTTAAAAAAAAAGTGTGTTGAGTTAATCAATTCAGAAGAGTTTAAAAGAGTTTTTTGGTTGGTTTGTAAGCCACTGGCCACTAGAGAATCCAGAGAAGGACAGGTTCAGGGTCAACAAAGAATAGCTCCAACGGTACCTGCTTGCCACATGGAGGAAGTTGCCAAATTTGTGTTAACTGTGTGCAATAGTGCAATATTCAAATTGGGGCTCATCTAATTGCAACTAGGAGGATTTATGAGCTAAAGTAGGAACTTAAAGGTCCAGGAAAAAAACTGGACAAACCTTTGGGAATCAAGTGCCTATCCCTTTTATTTTCTTATTGTCTCCAAAGCGGGGGGCAGGCCAGGGGGTGGGGGGAGGTAACTCAAATGAGAGAGGAAAGAAAACTCAACTCACACTGCTATAAAGATTCTTCAGATTCTTGGTTCTGTCATAATCCACTGTTTCCAGTACTGTCGTATACTTGTCCTTAATCTGATGATAATTTTCTTTATATCTCACCTACAGATAAAGAAAGATGGGTGATTCTTTTCTGCTGTTGAAAAATGTAAAGACAAATGAAGGCTCGTTCTGGAAGAGAAGACAAGCAAGACGCACCTCACTGGCATTGATGCCGCTTTGAAGAGCAGTCACGTAAACTGGTGTGTCTGTGACCAGGCTATAATTCTGCAGATTGTCTTTACTTGCTGCCGTGTATTGTATCTGTGAAGGAAAACCAAAGTCTCTATAAGGGTAAAGTATGGGTCTACAGTCAGATTTAGTAATTTGTGCCAACTTAGATGAGCCCTTATTCGTAGGCTGGGTTTCTGCATCACTCCTAACAAAGAGGCCACCCTTGTGTTGTCCTGCAGATTTTGTATGGCTGTCAAAACTAATCGCTTCTCCTGACCAAGAGTGAGGTCTGGATCTTTTCCGGGCCCCCTTCCTCATTTTGTTGTCTTTCCCACGCCTATACTCCACCCTGGCGGCAGCCCCTCAATTTCGACATTCCATTAGTCTGCTCCATCCAAGCTGAACCATATGCTGGGAGATTTCCTAAATATCTATGTTTTCACTACAGAGCTTACCTACCTACGGTCAAAGCATGCATTTGCATTCTACTATCTACACGTTAACCTGATCAACTAAGGTACTGATGCTAGAGGTAGTTTACTAGGAAACACCTCCCAGACAACGTTCTGTTAGAAATGTCTAATGCCTTAAACTACTGAGAGACACACACTAAGAGGGTCCAGCACCAGGGCAGGCCACCAGGAGAGGTGTGACTGGGCAGTGGACCTATGGCTCCCTTTCCTCATGCACTGTTAGAACAGCGTTCTCTGCCTGGGCACCGGGACAACCTGGGTAAACCCCACTGAGAGCACCATGGGTCCCATTGGTCCGCAGCCAATTAGTCCTTCTAGGGAGATTGGCTTACCTGACTCTGAAGGTCATACGACTTCTTGGCTTGGAGGATCTGAGGTGTATCCCAGACATAGCATCCAATGCCTTTCAGCCAATTCAAGTCATCTTTATACACATTCTGCAAGAAAGAAGAAGTGGTGAAAGACATAAGTACTCAATGAATTTGCAATGGGATGCTTTGATAATTTCCGATCAGCTCTTGGCTGTACATGGTGCTTAGTGGTCATAGGGTAGACTTCTCAACAGCTGGGAGGTCTTTAATGCCCTGGCCTAACAAAGCTTAGGAGGAGAATATTAGATAAGTTTTAGTCTAGTGTGAAACAGAACATGGATATCCATGGCTCAGAAGGAATTCTTACACCAAAAAGTGGCTATTCATGCCATTTTGTGTTGAAAAGCAGCAGGGTTTATGAATACAGGGATAATTAGATAAGACTGGAGGTGGGGGTTGTGGGGGGAGGCAAGGCAGGCTGGGTGAATCCTGTAATTAAGCTAAGCTGCAGGAATGACATACATCACTCAGGATCTCCTGTGCATTCCGGGCCAGTAGAATACTGGGTTCTTCTGGGAGAGACGTCCACTGGTGGAAGTAGTGTCGGTACTCGAGGTCGCTGAGGATGTACTGGCACTTTTTGGCCAGCACATGGTTCATCATATCATTGGGGATGTGAATATTTGCTTTGGTGTCCTCATAATGTTTTCTGTAGTTCAACTGAAGAAGAATATTTTTAAAGACAAACATAAGAAAGGAAAATGTAAATTATCCAGATCAATCTCTTAAGAGTTTTATTTCCAATATAGATCAGTACCTTTAGAATAGACTAAGGTTAAACAAACATACTATAATATATTCTTCTGTAAAAATTTCCCATGATTTTATAACACAGGATAAATAGTGACCTTGTTGTCAAATACAGAGCCCTCACTTTGTGTTTGGTAATGAAGGAGGGAGGGAATGGAGGTTGGAAGACTCAAAATCGGCAAAGACACACACGCTAAATGGCAGGGGTGGGGAAGTCTCAGGATCGACTCATGCCTCCCCACCCCATCCCCAGCTAATCTCGCACCAAAGAGCAGATCAGAAGTAAAGTCACAGTGAACTTTGCTTACCGCACTCCTCATCTTTTGGAAATCCAGGCAGTGAACCACACCAGGGAACTCACTGATTTCTTTTCCAGCCAGGTAGTGACCCTTCTGCTTCTCAAATGTCTCTTTGTATTTAAGCTGTGAAACAGGTACAACATTGAGAACCGCTGGGGTTTTCTAACCAGCCCTCGTTCCCCAATGAAGACTCTCCAGTCTCTGAGAGGCAAAAGTCCTACTGACCTCACTGTTCACATAGTCAGCATGCTTGGCTCCAACAATGGGGATGTAGCGTTCATCCAAGGTATAGCCGTAGGCCTTGGTTCCCTCCCACGCCCCTTTATACAGTATCTAGAACAAAGAAAAATGTGTGTCAACAAAAGTTTACTTTCAGATACCACCAAAAAGAAAGTGGTAAAATCAAGGTAAAAGATTTATGTTTAAAGGCAAGGCTTAGATCTCTGTTTACAGCCATTAGTGTACCTACCTAAGAACAAGGTAGAGTCTTTTGGCTTGTTGCAAAGGAAATCTACAAACTCTGAGGCATTTTATAACAGAGGTTAACTATATTTACAGTTCTAAAAAAATGAAAACCAATTTGCTCCTAGTGAGAAGATCACTGAAAATTGCAATCTTTCCGCTGAGATTAAACACACAGACATACTATGTGCACACATACATTGTCCTTTAAATTAGCCAAATTAAAATTGGAGGGCAAGTCTCCCATTCCTTGGCTGGAGATGTTTGTACATGACTGCTGAAAAGGGACCAGCTTTTTTTGTCTTTTCTCTGATGGTGGGTGCTCAGTCCTGTGTGCCCCCGGAACTGGTACAGCACTTGTTACATTATTTGTGGGTCTGTTCCTCTCACTTGTATGAGCTCTTGAAAGGCTTGTCTCATTTGAGCTTTAGCTCCTCAGTGCCTCCTACAGCGCCTGGCACATCATAGCAGCTCAAAATATACCAGGTGAATAAATGCTACATGCGCTGAACAATATGCTACTTTTAATAAACAAAATTAATACAATAGATGTAGTAGATTTCCTTTAAAAGTCCATTTGTTCACAAAATCATCCAAGAATGTGAATACTGACAAGAGCATAAGGTTAGGAACTGAGATGTACATCACATAAAATAGAACTTACGGTACTGTAGAGTTTTCCCATGTCTTTGGAGTGGGTGATATATGGTGTCTCTGGAGAAAATATATACTTGCCCTTTATTAATTTATTAAATGTTTCTTTATATTTTATCTAAGGAGAGCAAACAAAACAAAACAAAACCTCTGGTTACTATAAATGTATATTTAAAGTTTCATAAGATCTACCTAGTAAGATAATCAGACTACATTTAGAGATTAAAATGGACTGGAGATTAAAATTTCAGTCCATTTCAGCTAATACAATAGAATAACTTGGACAAAAATGTGGATTTTATCTAAAAGTGGGTATAATTATACCACCTACTAGTGGCTTTTAAGACATCCTCTCCCAAAGATTATCTTACAAACCCTCCTCCCTCAATTTTCTTACAAGCCAATCTGTTCAATGATAGCCAACTAGCTTCCCAGTCTATGCACCTCATTATACACAAAGCAAACTTACATCACTTTGATTGACTGAGTTAATCTTGGCCAAAACAACCTCTGGAGGATCTTCCACACTTGTAAAATTAGGATAGTTGTCGAGAGCAGCCTTCTTATATTTCACCTGCAAAGGCAGAGATGATGAAGTCGGGTCTCCCCCTACAGAGTACCCATTCCCACAGGGCAGGTAAGGAGGACAGGCAATTAGGTAAGAATAACAGGCTTTGTGTACCTGATTCACCATTTCTTGGTTTTTAGTAACCCTCACATGGTCCACAGAATCCAGGGGGATCCAGCCAATGCCTCGGAGCCACTCCAGGTCAGATTTGTAGACATTCTAAGAGCAGGAAGAAAGATATAATGCAGGAGAAATGACCGGACACAGGGTTACAGACAGCATATTAAAAACAAAGTTTTTTCAGCTTTTAAAGGATTTCAATCTTTTGTAGCTATTGTCTTTTCCATTCAGTCATGATTTCATCTGTACATCTGAGTAATAAGTCTTGAACCTCTTACTATGAATGAGGAACCTCCTTCTAGTCAAGCCTGCCTCTACACTTCCCCACCTAGTTCCTGGATTCTCCCAGTGCACCCACACGGAATAAAGAGGAGTTACTAATATGATTCAAGTTCCACAATGGTCTTTCTGCTGAGGTTCAAGTTCAGCACCTGTGCCACAGGCAGTCTTTTACTTCCTGTTTCTGTATTGGTAGTGATGGGACCTATGCAGGGTTAGCTCCTTTATGTGCCTGAGCATCATGTCAGTGCATCCTGTTTATGTTCCTATAGACAGCTGGTGTCGGGTAGAGATCTTGATTCAGGTCTCAGTGCAAAGTGGCCTAAGCCATATTAACTACCCTAGCTTTACCACAGTCTGAATGAGAAATTCTGGGCCCTCATGTGGCTCATCAGTATTTTGCAACCATTTTGCTTTGATTCCTTGCAAGCAATACTTCATTAATGCCTTGAAGAATGAGATGCTTGGCAAAGCAAGAATGGGGCATTCCCAGGGCCTGGACTATTCTATCATGCAATGTTGTTAGAATCCCAACTCAATTCCCACCCAAGCCAATTATTATTTTAAATCAGTTGATAATTTTTTATACAAATATGAGTGAGGAGTTGCTAATGCAATGGTACAAAAGCAGCAGATTAAACACAAAAATGAGGTTGAGATTTACTCAAAATGCAGCCAGTGGGTAGTGCTGTCACTCACTCACTGCTCCTGATCTTGCTCTACTTCATATCCAGCTTCAGTTCCTCCTGGGCACAAACTAAATATTTATGGCTCCAAGTTTCAAAGAGTGGTGGTTCTGGAATGCTACTTACAATTCTCAGGGTATACTGTATGTTTCTAAGTAATTAAGAAACAAAAGTCACTTACATCACTCTGTAGTTCATAGGCCTTCTTGGCCTGAATAACATCGTTTTGGTCAGGATGACATGTCCATTGGTGCAGGTAATTACGGTAATCGATATCGCTGATAAGGGACTGCCCCTGCTTGGCAGCCAACACCGACACCGTGTCAGCAGGTATGTTGATCTTGGCCTTTGTTTTATGATAGTCCTCTTTGTACAGTCGGTCATTCTGAATCTGGCCCGCGTGCTCAAACCACACTAGGTTGGGGTCATCCCTCATGGTCGGCACACCAACATAATGACCTTTTTGCTTTACATGCTCAGCTTTGTATTTCAGCTGGTGGGGAGAAGCATGGAGATGCATTCCATCAGCTTTGACAAGCACACAGGGCAAAAGGGACATTGGGCATCAACATATTCAGCACCCCCCCCCAGCTTTTTGTGTTACAATCCCCACCCTGAGAATAAATAACAAAAACATTGAAGTAGATAAATATTAAAAATATCAACTTAAATATGGGGGGGGGGGGGAAGTCATTTGTTTTCTAATTCTGGCAGTATTTTATTTGAAGGCCTAGCAATCCTAGGAAAACCAGGGAAAAGAAGAAAAAGTGAAGATGGTGATGGATGTTAGCCAGACTTGTGGTGATCATTCCACAATATGTACAAATACCAAATCATTATGTTGCACACCTAAAACTAACATAATGCCATATATATATATATATATGTCAATTTTACCACAATAAAAAAATAAATAAATGAGAAAAAGTAAAGAACTCAAACGATAGCCTTTAAAGAAACCAAGGATGGCGGGGGGGGGGGCGGGGGGCTGGAGGGGACTCCCAAAGCCCATGGGAAAAGGATCAGAAGGAAGCAGGTACCTCCACCACCCCCTAGCCTGGCCACGGTGCTATGACTTAGCATAACCGGGTTGCCCCACGTGCAAGGCCCAGCCTTTGCAAAGTGCACTTATAACAGGATGAATTACCTCGCTCTGAACATCACTAGAATGATGGGCATGAACAAACGGCACAGCATCCGGAGGCAAAATGTAGCCTGTGGCTTTTTGTTTCTCCCAGCCTTCCTTGTAGAGGTACTAGAAGACAGAGGACCACAGCAAAGGGTTACACTGAAGAGTCAGAATGGAGGGAGAAGTCGTGTGCAGACATCTCCGATGGTCCCCACCCAAAGTCCCAGGCATCTGGGTAAAACCCATACCTGGTCCAGTATCCGGGCTGCCTCCTGGGCAGTGTGCAGCAGGGGGGTTTCTGTGAGGGTGTACTTTGATTTGGTGTCATTCCAATCTTTCCGGTATTTAATCTGGAAACCAGAGGCAAGAGGTAAGTTAATTGATGTTAAGGAAGCATCATGTAAGCAGTCTAGCATCATGATCTATCTCAATGATTAAAACCTGTATCTCAGACAATGACTGCATGCTGAGTGTGTGTGAGTAGGTGGAAAAGCTTTGGAAACGACATCTTCATGATTGCAATTTTAGAACGGCAGCCATGTACTTACATCATTTAGGATTTCACCACTTTGTTTCGCTGTCACATAATCAACTCTGTCATCCACAGGAGTAAAGTTCAGACTTTCGATTTTTGTACGATATTTATTCTATGGGAAAGAAAATAGCTTTTAGACAGTCGTAGTCACTGGTCCTGTGTGAGCTGAGAAAGATACGCTAAATTTAAGGATCCTTTTCTACAAGACGCATACAGCACCATATTTGAAAGGCATCTTCTTGGCAATTTGGCTTTCTTCTTAGCATTTTATTATTTATTTATTAATTAAAAATATTTTTATTGATTTCAGAGAGGAAGGGAGAGGGAGAACGAGATAGAAACATCAATGATGAGAAAGAATCACTGATCGGCTGCCTCCTGCACACCCCCTACTGGGGATCGAGCCCACAACCCGGGCATGTGCCCTTGACAGGAATGGAATCAGGAACCCTTCTGTCTGCAGGCCAATGCTCTATCCACTGAGCCAAACCAGCTAGGACCTTAGCATTTTATTTTTGAACAAATGGCTGGCTTCTTATGCCTCCCACGAATTTTGAAGTAGCAGGTTTGCTTAGCTCCCAAAGTCATGCAATGTCTCATCATATATATTACATATATCATAATACTCAATACATTATTTTAAAACTGGACAAAGTTCTCTCAAAGTATTTTCCTGTTGCTGACAATATAAGTTTTTCGTATATACAATTCCAAACATAATGAGTGTGCTGGATATTATGTTATGGATGTGATCCCATAGTGTCATAGCAACAGCACAGGATTATTTTTTGGGGGAAAAAAGTATGTCTGGCTCAAATGACAGCAATTGAAATTGTTTAAATTGCTGATAGGTAATGACTAAACTTTGGCTTGTGTATTTTTTTTTAATGCTTACCTGAAGATATGTTTAGATAGAGGAAGAGAGAGAGAGAGAGAGAGAGAAACATCGATGTGAGAGTGAAACATTGATTGGTCGCTTCCCATATGCGTCCTGACCGGGGATCAAACCTGCAATCTTTTGGTGAACAGGATGATGCTCCAATCAACCGAGCCACCCAGCCAGAGCTTGTATATTTTTTTGTTCATTCTTTTAAGAAGTGTAACGAATGGCAGGATAAAATGTTAGAATACCTCACTGAAGATATCCCCAGCATATTTGGCATGATTGACGGAAACGGAATCATTGGGCATCCACCCGATCCCACGCAACCATTCCAAGTCGGCCTTGTAAATAGCCTGTGAAAAAAAGGTGGAGGTAAAGTCAGCAATCCTACCCACAAGTCCTGTTTATTCTGTCCATTGGTCTGATGGAGAAATACAATTCAACAATGATCTACTCAAACGGCCAGGCAGGTAACATGTAAATTAATTAGGAAGCCAGGTGGCAAAACTGAGTAACAAGCTGAGGGACATATTTTCTATTTAAGAGGGAGTAGCTTCCGTTCAGCTAGAGGTTATTGTCTGGGCTCAGGCACATTCAGAGCTTCCTCCTCTAACTTTTTAAGAGAAATAGGAAGTCCTAGATTTGTATACAAAAGTTTCTGATCTAAAAATTCTGGCAACTTAATTCAAAAATTTTAAACATTGTGTCAACTAAAAAAGCATATCTGTGCCTACACCCTATCCATGGACTGCCACTATTTTATTTATGATATAAACCTGTTGCTACTTAAATTCTATAGAAATCGTATTTTCACCTTAATTGTCCTTACCCTGTAACAATTAAGGACTGTATTCACACTACCATTTATTTCTTGACACAAAGTCTAGATCCTTTATGACTTTGGTGACTTTGATACCATACTACCAGGTGTAACTAAAACCAAATTCTTGGCTGTATAAAGACATGGAGATCTGATCCAAGGACTTAATGACATAAACTTTCTGGGAGTCCTGGCAAAATACAGAAGAGCTCATCCAAAAATGCAGCCCACTCACATCGCTTTGCAGTTCATAGGCCTTTTTGGCCTGAATCACATCGTTCTGGTCGGGCAGGCATGTCCATTGGTGTAAGCGTTGGCGGTAATCAATGTCGCTGACCAGAACCTGGCAATTTTTAGAATGCAAGATGGAAAGCATATCCACAGGGCTTTGGAACTTAGTCTTGTATTTGGCCCAGTTCAGCCGATACTCTCGTTCATTCTGAAGCTTGCCAGCTATGAGGGCCCACCGGATCCTGTTGTCGTCCCTGGCGGTGAGGGTGCCCACGTAGTGGCCCTTCTGCTTCTCATGGTCAAGCTTGTATTTATACTGGAGACACAAAAACAAAGCAGACGGGTCACAGCTTGTACTCGCAGTGCACCTAGGGCATTTGCTTACAAAACTGAGAAGTTAACCCAGGCCACACTCACATCGCTGGCGATCTCCCGGGAAGCCTTGGCAGACTGTATAGGGATGGCATCCAGCCGCACGTCGCAGCTCATCTTCATTTCATCCCAACCCTCGCGGTAAATTTTCTGAAGAGAACAAAGGGTATCATTCCAGGTTCAAATTTACCAATAACTCCAAGGACTCACGTAGAATTATTATCAGAGGGGTGCAGTTTTGAAGACCCAGAGACAGTTAAAGAAAAGGGGATAGGTGCAAGAATCATTCTGCACCATGGTACTGAAATATAAAACCATGTCCGGTGTCCAAATATCAGAGATTGACCAGAGTTCTTTCTTTTTAATTTCAATCATAGCCTCCACATAGCTGTAAATGGTTTATGTAAAAGAGTTGAGTTGCTTCTTGGATTGGTAGCTTTGGGATAAATTTCAGTTCAGACATGAATGGGCTAGTATTGAATTTCTTTATTCAATCATTTAATTTATTTAATTTTAAAATTCAATTCAATTTTGTAATCTTCAAAAGTAAAAACTTTTTAAGTTTGTGAGGCTTTCCTCCCAATATGGTTTCTTAGATTTTATATGATTGATGATGCATATTGTTTGGGAATGTTAGATGTTCCTGCTGAAGTACAATTGGATATTAATAGCCATTTTTTTTAAAGAAAAATGTAGTGTCTTTTTGTTTGTAAAGAGAAGTTAATTAAGAGAATGACTGGTTTACAGATAACCTTATAAAGACTATGCTTTCAGGGATCATTTCTATAGTTCGTTACAGAGAAATTTAAAAATATATGTTCATATTTAAATAGGCACAGTCTGTATGACAATGTCACGACGACTCAGAAATAACAATAATTTCAATGCATAATTTAGAAAACATACCAATCAGTATGGGATCTTGAACAGTGAAGAAAGGAGAGGTGAATTTCAATTATTGATAATTTCATGGCCTTTGCATATCTGAAATATGAGTGCTCAGATAAATTTTGTCTTTGTAAGTATGGATACATTTTATAGGAATTTTCATTCAAGCTTTTGTATGAATTTGGGTGGTCCTATTTTAATAATCAACTTGTTTTCTGTGCAAAAGAAAAAGTATTCTCCACATTTAAATGTATTATACTAGAGAATATTCAATGCAAACTTGTCATTATATTATTTTAAATTATTTTTGTTTTTTATTTATTTCATTTTGTTACATATTATTATCACATTATTTTTTCTCATGTCTTTATTTCTTTATTTTTGTTTGCTTATGTGGTCAAATGTATTTTTATTTGAATTAAAAATAAATCTGGCTTGAGACCAAACTTCTTCATCTACTAACTTTGGAAAAACATGAGAAAATTCCTTAATCATTTTAAGTTTCAACTTTCCTATTTGATAAAAACAAAATAACCATATTTTACTCATGTGGCTAATTTGAAGATTAAATGAGTCAACTTAACATGAATTTGCTTGATTACCTATAAAATTGTATACAAATATTCTAAAAACGTGCTTTCTAAATGATGGAAAGAGTTTTAAATAGTGAATTTTATAAAGTTATAATAATGGGGACACCATGTGTAAAGAAAATGCACATTTTGGTTGACATGCAAATGGGATGTTTGATTTCTTCCCAAATACAAGCCATTCTCATGAATATGTAAATATCTAAAGTTAATAACTTTACTTTTGGCATATTTTCAAATATTAGTCTTGCTTATATCATCATATCCAGCTGGGAAATTCATCATGCAAACAAGACCACATGAAACTTTCGAGAAAATTCCTGCCAAAGATGCCTCTGGATCAAACCAGAGAGCTGAAGAGGCCCTGCTCAAATGAAGAGCTGCCTCTCCACCCAGTCACTTGACAAGGGAACACTGCACAAAATACTGATTCTGGTCCTCCCCTTCCCGCAAAAGTATCGGGGCCCTAAAATTTTATTTTTTTCCTAAGCCTTGGAAAAAATTAGCTCTCAAGTGGCTCATTATCATAAAGTTGAGGGCACACAGTTGGGCATGTGGTGAGGAATCTTTGCCAGGCAGGTTCCTTCTCTCATAAAGATGTATTACTTTTTGAAAGATGCAAAGTTTCAATCTATGGTGAGTTGCACTAAGGAAGTATCCTTCTTCTAAGGTTATGCTTGTTCTACACATGAGAAACCTCTGAGATCCATGAAGGTGGTACCTTCTTGAACGTTGCTGCATTATGTTAGTCACATAACTAAATTCTCTCATTTTATCTAATAGATTTTTAAGTTGATGTCCTTGCTTCTCCCAGGCATATAATGATTTATTCTGCAAATAATAATAATTTTGAAATTTTTTCTTTCCAAAATTTATCTCTTATTCTTACTCTTATTCAATTATTTTGGCTTGAATGTGAGGCTTACTCAGCTAGAACTTTCAGCACATTGGCAATGTTAGTGGGCATTCTTGTTTTACTCCTGACTTGAATGAGAAGTTTAGTTACTGAAGATGAGCCTGGCCTTGGATTTGAGATTTATTCTTGCAGTCACATCAAGAAAATACTCATTTATTCTTATTTTTCTATGACTTGATTTTAGAAAATAAGAACAGATACTGAATTTTGTTGCATGCATTTCTCAATCTTATTAAAGGAGCATATGATTATTCCCTTTTGTTCTATCACATTATTAGGTTTCTGAAAATAGAATCCTCTTGGAATTCCTGTATCAACCTTAGTTGTTTGTGTCATGTATTTATATCCAATTTGATTTATTAATATTTTACTTAAGATCTTCCTCATTATCATTTGTCTAGTTTCCATTTGTGAAACTATTTGGACAAGTTTTGGTAACTGTAATGGCGTTTTTTCTTTCATTGGGCTCTATGGCAGTCTTTTTTTTTTTCCTTAATGTTTTGAAAGAATTCTTCTGTAAAATCATCTGAGTGACCATGGCATTTGAGAGGAGAATGTAACGTCCTTAATAACCCTCTCAATTTCTTGCTATATGTTTTTATTCTTTTTCTGGGGTCAATTTTGGTAATTTGTCATTTCCTAGAAAATGCCCATAGTCCCAATTTTAAAATTAATTTGTAGAGTTTTGCAAAGAATTCTCATATTTCAAGTTCACCTGACTCTGTCATTAATTCCCCTTTCTTGTGTGTGGGTGTCTTCATTCCTCTTTCATCTTTCTTGTCCTTATTCTCTTCTCCCTATTATCATGCTGACACTGGCGCACCAATAACTGACCCTGCCCAGTGACTCTGAGCCGGGGATCTGCTCCTTTCCTCACTCCTGGTCCCGGACTGATGGTGAGGAGTCTTTCTTGCCTCCACCAATCTTCTCTCCCTTGACTATGAAGAGTTCCACTGGTGATATTGTAGCACCAACTCAATGACTTTCTAAACAAAATGGATTCTGTTGCGATACTTACATTGCTCACATTGAGAGCATTGGCTCTGGCGAGATTAATTTCTGGAGTATCTGGCATTATGTGGATCGAAGTTTTATCCTTGTCCCAAACTTCTCTGTACTTTGGCTATGGAAAGAACCAATAATAAAGAAGTTACTTCATAATTTGTAACTTTGCTAGTTCCAATGCACAACTTTTAATTTTTCTGATGCAAAACATTTTTATATCTAGAGCCTTTTCACATAGATTACTCAAATTTGATAAAAAATTTTTATTACTGTATTAATACCTTTTATTAATACTTTGAGTTTCTGTTTAAAATTAGAAAGTAAATAATAAAGCAACTCTGTCAACATTACTTATTAAAATATTTGCTATCATCAATATTATGTTTATTACTAGGTTAATGATTTGTTTGTTTGTTTGTTTTTGTTAATTCTCAACCGAGGATATTTTTCCATTGAGATTACTAGGTTAATGATTTCTTTCTTTCTTTCTTCATTTTTTTTTTTTTTTGTTAATTCTCAACCGAGGATATTTTTCCATTGATTTTTAGAGAGAGTGGAAGAGAGAGGGAAAGACAGAGAGAAACATTGATGTGAGGGAGGAGCCTCACAGGGCCCGGGCAATGATTTCATTTATTTATAACACTAACCTAATTTTATTATAGAGAAAATGGTACTTACAATACTAATATTTTCAGCATTTGACTTAGCAAGGACAACTTCCGGTGTGTCGACGATGCTTGTGTACTTGAGATTCACCACAGGTGTCCGGTAGACACTGTCTCGTAGGATCTCCTGGGCATTCTTGACTCTCAGTACTTCGGGAGACCCATCCGGCATCCAGCCAATGCCACGCAACCACTCCAAGTCAGCCTTGTAGATAGCCTGGGAAAGAAAACAAAGTCAGCTAGAAACGGGCTTTTTTTAAAAATTAGTAAAATAGGCAAGCACTTTTGTATGTTACATTTTATCTTCCACAAACAGTAATAAAAAATGAGTACTCTCCTGACAAACATAACTTCTCATATACACAGTAGTGCTTTGTTCTGCCTTTCCCCTGTGGCAGGGGGTCCAAGTTTGGGTGCATGTGCACATTTTAAAAAGCAGAAAGATGTAGAAAGAGCTCTCTGCTTGGGGGATGCATGCCAAATTTTTGAATAACATTAGATACTCATCCTACTAGTCAATGTGGAATTTAAAGCAATAATAATGGGCTCTTTAGTAAGTCCTCTACAAAGCAACCAGAATGATCTTTTCAAAGTTCGAAATTCAAATCTGCTGTCACCACATCCCCTCATCCTGTGACTTCCCATTGGTCCTAGGATAAAGATCAAAATCCCTAACATGGACTAGAAGGCAAGGGCTGACCTGGCACCAGTCCCGACTGTTCTCCCAGCCTCATCTTACGGGTGCTTCCCTTCGACCTGTGCATTCTGACCGCACCGGCCTTCTTTCAGTTGTGGTTTGCATATGGCCCCCTTTGCATATGTTGCTCATTCTGCAGGAACATCCTCTGTGTCCTCCTCAGAGCCACCTCCTACTCTCCCTTCAGAGCCACTAAATCAGCACTTCCTTCGATAAGCTTTCGCACCTCTCATAGAGCCAGAGATCACTCCTCGCCATCTCACTATTTGCTGATATTCTCCAATTAGCACCTATTTCTTTGTTATCGATGTGAATTCCTAAAGTCGGGAACTTGGTCTCATTTATTCTTTATTTACAATTGTATCTTTAGTGCCTAGCCCAACATTTGGCACATAAAGTGTCTAATATCTTAAAAAGACAATTAAGAATGCAATCCCTACCCTAGCTTCACAATTCTGATCTCAATTGTTGTGTTTTTTTCCAAGATAGCAAGCACCTCCCTTTGAATAGGGATTTTTATTTTCTTGATTATCTAAATCTGTTTCCCCAGACATAGGTAAGTGGTAAACCATATCAAATTGCTTTATGTTAAGCACCAGTTATTAATTTTATAAAAAACCCTGGTGTTCTTCAGAAATGATATTTTAATAACTAGGTAATAAGATATAAATACCAGGCTAAAAAGGTAGTAAGAGGAGTGAAAAGGTAGGAAATTTTCTACCTACATGAAGAATGACATATCTAGAATTTAGAAGAAAGGATTCTCAAAGAAGATTACATAGACATTTTGAAATTTCCCTCCCTCATTCTCTAAGAACTTGATTGCTGTGCACGCCTCAGTTCACTAATGTGGGTCAGGTTAGTGAACAGACTGCCTTTCTTGAGAAAACGGCCTACATTCACCAGGTGGCAATGCATTTCAAGTGATGGGCGTACATCCTACAGGAAACTCATTCATTATGAGAAAGCATCTTTTGAAGCTTAGGGGAACCAAGTTTACGTAATTTAAAAAAAATGGTATCCCTTCTATAGAAAAAATAAATAGCCTGAGGGAATCCATCATTTCCCAAACATTGAATGTGCAGAAAATATGAGTAAATCTAAAAGCACTTCAGGTAAATTAATGAAACACCAGGTTGTAAAGAACACCAAGTTAAGGGAAACCAGTGAGTCTGGAGCATGCTGCTAACCTTTGAAATTAAATTTAAGGAAAATAGCCTAGTTCAATGCATAGTTGAAGGACCAGGACAATCCTTAATAAACACTGCACATGTTCACAAGTCTATAGAAAAATTATCTGAAGGACCAGGACAATCCTTAATAAACTACAAACACTGCACATGTTCACAAGTCTATAGAAAAATTATGAAAATAAAAACTTAACAACAAAAACAAAAACTTTCTGAATAAACCCAGCAGGAGGGTAGACACTTAATAAGCTTGGTAAAATACTCAAGGGAAGTGCTTATGCAGGGGGAGTTGTATTTTCCCACGCACTGGAAGGAGTGGTCAGGCAGAGCTGTGGAAGGCTTCCTTCCCGGGGACAGCTCACCCCTCAGACACCTGCCTTGGTGCTCCCTTCCCAGGCACACACTTACATCACTCTGCAGGTCGTACGCTCTCCTGGCGTGTAAATAAGCTTGGTAAAATACTCAAGGGAAGTGCTTATGCAGGGGGAGTTGCATTTTCCCACACACTGGAAGGAGTGGTCAGGCAGAGCTGTGGAAGGCTTCCTTCCCGGGGACAGCTCACCCCTCAGGCACCTGCCTTGGTGCTCCCTTCCCAGGCACACACTTACATCACTCTGCAGGTCGTACGCTCTCCTGGCGTGGATCACATCATTCTGGTCAGGAAAGCAAGACCACTGGTGCAGGTACTGGCGATAGTCCACGTTGCTTGCTAATGCCTGGCCTTCTTTGGCAGTGCTGATGGACACCATGTCCCCCGGGATGGAGATCTTCGCCTTGTGGTCATTGTAGGCCTTTTTGTACAGCCTGTCATTCTGCATCTTTAGTACATTTGCTGCCCAAGCCAGTTTAGGGTCTTCCTTGGCATTGCGACATCCAATATAGTGGCCTTTCTGTTTCTCATAAGCAGTCTTATATAGATACTATTGGGTGTGAACAGAAGAAAGAAGAGTTGTTTTTCCAAATTCAATATGTCTAGACATTCAGTTCAAAATAGCTCCATTCCCTTAGATTCCTGTTTTTGGGGCGCTATAAGCACCTCTAGGCAAGAACATTGTGAGCACCTCTAAGGCAAGAAGTGTGCTTCTAGGTTTTCCTCCAATACAGGCTTGTCCAGTGTTTCCCAAACTCCAGTCAAGGTTTGGCACCCTCACATGTTTTGTCACAAACACGTACCAAATGTACTTCATACTTTAAGTCAATTTGATCCTTTGTTTAAATAAATTTATTTTTTAAGTGTAAAGTTACTTAAATTGTTATTTTAAAATTTATAATTCTATCTAAATGGGATAAAATCAGTATTATTTCTAGCACACATTGAAACACATATATAACCATTTAAAAAAATGCTTGTTTATGTGTTGCATAATATATCACTTTGAGAAACAACACAATTCTTTTCACCTATAAATCTCCAAATGCTAGTAAATTAGCTTATATTGAGAAGATATTGAAAATAAAATAAAAATCTGTGCTTAAACATAAGAAGAAGAGCAGAACTCAGCAGAGATGCATGAAGATCATCAAATTGTTGTAAAGTTGTTCTTAAATTTGGGATTTTAAAACAAGACACTAATAACAATGACCTCCACTTAAGTATAATTCCTGGGGAAATAAGTTAAAGATTAGTATGGCATTAACCCCCTGTGTGCCCACTAGTGTTTGTCAAAGCTGGGCAAGGAGGAGCTCTTACATCACTGGCGATATCCCTGGAAGCCTTGGCATGCTGGATCCCAATGGCATCTGCTCGCAGGTCATAGCCGGTCGACTTGACATCTTCCCAAGCTTGCTGGTAGTGTTTCTGCAATTGGAGATTGCAATGCTACAGTCAGTCTGAAGAGGGAGCTACTGAGCAACATGCTAACAGTTATACTGAAAACTAATCTCCCCTAGAGCTTCATAAAATAGGCTGGTTTCATATTGAACTTATGTTCCAATCGTTTTTTCATGGAATTTAGTAAAGTTATCTCTTATACTTTTTTTTTAAGAAGGAAATTTAGGAGACAGGAAATCATGTTAAAATGAGAAAAAAATATTATTTGGTTTTTAAAAGGAAAATCAATGATGGGTCACTAAAAAGAGAGCTAAGTATTATTATACATGCATAGGTACTTTTATGTTGTGTTTTGGCAAAACCACTGCATTTTCCCTTCCAACAAAGATAAAGACACATATCTCTAAACACACACACACACACACACACACATTAGCTTAAAGACTAGAAATAAAAGGAATGGTAGGGAACTGTCTTTTATAAATACTTTCCGGAGCATACTGCCTAAAGGTTCAGTTAGGCAGAAAGCATTGTATAAAGCAAATGGGTGTGTAGTGCCTTACGTTGCTGATCTGCAGGGCGTTGATCTTGGACTGCAGCATCCCTGGAGTGTCGGCTGGCACATTCACATTAGCCTTCTCTTTGTCCCAGGCATCGCGATACAATGGCTGGTAAAAATGAAAAACAAAGGATGATTGACGAGTAAATAAATCAATTACCACATGAATAACATTACAATTAAAAATTCTCTTTGAAGGTTTTCCTATGTAAATATAGATCACATTTTGTTTTTGTTTAGAAAGTGCCAATGGTGACTTCAACAAGAGGAATACATTCATGCATAATATAATATAAATGTAAAATGAGTCAGAAACATGGTAGTAAAATAATCCTCTTGCATTTATTCACATGTAATTATCAGGCAGTAAACCTGCATTGTAGGTAACTATGATATTCCACAATGCTAGTAAAGTCCTGGTTCTCTTAACTAAAATAACTTTAATAATGTCTAACATTGCTACCCCTGGACTTTTCAACTTATTTTATGATTGAATACAAAAAAGATGTCAATTTCTGATCATGGTATTAACTGGTTGACCAGTATTATAGGCAAGGTCTTAAAATGCGTTCAAAGTATACATCAGAGTCTGTGAAACATGAAGATACCCACTACACTTATAGTGAGCAAAGAGTTATCTAATGAAATGAAATGTGGATACTGTTCATCGACCGACTATATAAAATTCTATCTGGATATATGTATCTTCAGGATTCTGATGGGTATTAGCAGTTTAAAGTTCACAGCTTACCTCGCTGATCTGTAGAGCATTGGTCTTTGCCAGAATGACTTCAGGCGTATCAGCAATGCAGGTGAATTTGAGGGTCTCAGGCTTTGTACGATACAGCTTTTCATTGAGGAGATCTTGGGCATTCTTCACTCTCACCACTTCCACAGAACCCTCTGGCAACCATCCGATACCCTTCAACCATTCCAGGTCTGATTTGTACACGTTCTACATGAAGGAGAGGACCACAGAGTGCAGAAGAGTCAAATTTGTAGTAGAGCACAATGCCAACAAACCACACACACGATCTCTGTTTAAATCAGCTGGGTGGCCAATCCCACGAAACTCAAGGATCAGCATTAAATGGTATCATTGGTGTACTGTCTCTGGCACAGGTCTCTGGGAGAAGCTCACAGGATCTATCCTCCAGGATTGGAGCAGGGCTGACAAGTGGCATTTGGGGAATGACAGACTGCAATGGCATAAAATGCAAAGTTGAGCTTTTGTGCTCACCACTTGGAATCTGCCTTTTATGTACCACTGGGAATGCCTACAGATGTATCATCTGCAGGAATTTAGGGGGAAAAAGTCCTTAGATGCATGTATAATGAGAAAAAATACATATCTATAAACATTTTTCTCTATATACAAAAATATAATATAAATATACATTTTCCTATATGCACCAGATAAACTTGAAATGCAAAATTTTCTTATGCTTAACCTGTTTCTGAAACTTAGGTATCTGATAATGTATCACAAATGTACTGGATCAGAACAACTGGGACTGAAATTTTCTACCTAATTACATAGAATAGCAGAGTGATTTTCATCTTGATGGATAAGGCCTTGTTGCATAAGAAGGAATCCCCTATAAGATTAAAAAATATTCAGAAAAACTCTACTATCATGAAATGTACAGACTATGCTAGGTTCTTTCTATGAAGATTACCAGTTAAATTACATCCCCAGGGATTACACTATGATTACACACACAGGCACACATCTCCCCAGGGGTCTGGTGATAATATACGCACATCGCTCTGCAGTTCGTAGGCTTTCTTGGCCTGGATCACATCATTCTGATCCGGCAGACACGTCCACTGGTGCAGATAATTGCGATAATCCACGTCGCTAACCAGGACCTGGCATTTCTTGGCTTGAACAATTGACATCATGTCCAAGGGTGTATTGTAAATTCCTTTAGACTTCTCATAAGCTTTCCTATATTCCCTGTCACTCTGGATCTTGGCAGCATGTATAGACCATACCAATTTGGGATCATCTTGTAGGCTGCGGAAACCCACGTGGTGGCCCAGTTGCTTACGGTAACCTTCTTTGTATTTGTACTAAAGCGGTGAAAAAACAGATAAAAAGACATATGAAAATAATGTATTGGAGAACTTTTCATGAAATGTTTCAGAATATTTTCTTAATGTAAATTGGCTTGACATTGGCAGTCATTATGTACATCAGCTCACTTTAAGGAAATTAGAAAGGGCTATTTAGATAGCTTTAGAGAGGACATGAGTAAATCAGGAGGGACAGTATGGTAAACAAGAGTAATAAAAAAATAATAATAGCTAACATTTACTGAGCAATCACTCTATGCCAGACTCTATTATGAATGCTTCAAATGTATGAGGTTGATCCATCTGATATTGCTGATTTTTTAAGTTAAAAATAGTTGACAGTGGCAATTATAAATTCATTTAATCCTCACAACATCTCTATGTGGTAGTACTATTATTATCACATATTTCAGATGGGGGGGGGGACACAGTAAGGGTAACCATTGTCCCCAAAATTGCCTGGCAGGTGGAAACATTAGGTCAGATGGCCCCCCAAGAGTACTGAAGGTACTTCAAGTAGGAAAAAATCATGTGTGATTTAGGAGACAGACAAGATGTATGTTTCAGGAATGGAAAGCAAGGTTGTTGGTTTGAATCAGAAGATGACAGTAAAAGACCCATGGATAAAAGTTTGTGGTCCACGCTTGTCCTCAATGTCTTAGGACTAGAGTTAGATAGCTTCTCTTCCCCATATTTAGATCTGATCGGTAAATTTGGACAAAAGGGAGATAGAAAGAACAGGAATAAAGCAGACACTGTACTCAGGTATAGTTTTTAGAGATAAAGAGGAGGAAGAAGTTAGAAAGAAACAGCTGGATACATGAAATAAAAAATAGAGAAGAATGGGGAGAAAGGGAATAAAGATGGCTTAAAGATTTGGAACTGGGGGGGGGGGGCGGCGAACTTGATAGGATAATTGTTTTGACCATTAGTAAGTTTTAAAAGTACTGTTAAATGAACTTCAAAAGGTTACTAAGATCATTCATTATACATAAGCCTCCAGCATAAAATCTTGTTTATAAAATGTGATTTCATTCTTAAGTCTTCTTGTTTGACACTTTCACCTGTGATTTATATTTATGGAGAATGTCAAAAATATTTTGGGGGTAAAATCACATTGTATTGGTTCCTGAATTTTCCCCAAGAATTTCACACAGACCCTTCACGATATTTTTCTCCTACTTAGAAACAACTTAGAAGTTATTTACACATGTACCTCATTTATGCTTACCTTAATGTTCTTTTGTCCCATTTTAATGTTTTAAAATAAAGTCTTTAGTGTAAGACAAAACATAATCATTTGTCTAGATCTTTAAAAAACACCCAAATTCTTGAAAAATACTCTGCCTATCTGTTGCATGGAGGAGGGGAACCACAAGGCAACAAGGAGCCGTACCTCACTGGCGATTTCCCTGGAGGCTTTGGCATGCTTGATTTCGATGGCATCTGCTCTTATGTCATAGCCTTTCTGCTTGGCCTCGTTCCAGTCTTTCTGGTAGAGTTTCTATTGAGGGAAAAAACAGGTTTGTTTACAAGAATTGAAAATAAGTAAATATACTCAAAGTAGTCATATGAGTCATAAGGCATAATGTCAATGATGGCAACATAAGAACAAAACCTGTCACTTCTGAGTTCTTCTCTTGGTTATTGGTTATTTACTTTGTGGAGTGCCGGATACTTCTGATAAAATTTTCAAAGGTAAATATCTAAGTCTAGCAGCTAAACACCTAAATCTAAACATCTGAACCCAAACTAATATTTGAATATCTGTATTCATCACAATATGGCCCACATCTGAAGAAATCTCATTACACAGTAGATGAAAACTAAGAATCAATGGTGAACCTTCTTCACAAGGCAACATATGAAACCTGATTAGATTGTCTTCCTAATGTTGTCCTTTGACTTTTTAGAGGTCTCTGCTAATGATGTGACATATATATCATACATATCCTGCACTTTGCATATATTTAGAAGTTGTCTTTTGGCTTTTCTTACAGCCTTCAAATGTCCAACAAGAAAGTTCTGGATCAATCAAAAACTGATAAAGACAATAGAAAAAAAGATAATAGAGACTATTACCTTTTAAGAGGCATTTAACTAGGGATTTCATTATTCTCAAATAAGATACAATGAAACTGAGCTGTGAACATTAGATACTAGAGGCCCGGTGCATGAAATCTGTGCACGGGTGGGGCCCCTAGGCCTGGCCTGTGACTGGGGCCTCTCAGGGCTGGGCTGGCCAGGGTCTGCCGGTTGCCGGATGGGGCCTGCTGGGCAGGGCCTGCCGGATGGGGCGGAGGTTGGCTGGCCGTGGGAGGTTGGCTGTGGGAGTGCACTGAACACCAGGGAGTACTCCTGCATTGAGCGTCTGCCCCCTGGTGGTCAGTGCGTGCCATAGTGACTGGTCAACTGGTCGTTCTGGTCATTTGGTTGCTTAGGCTTTTATATATATATAAATAGGACAGTGATTTCAAGGTTGAAAGAAGTACATCACTAAGATGCAGGTATCCTACACGTTGCAGTCCAGGGACTCAACCATGTATCTAAACTAACATTTAAAAGAGAATTTCCATTCATATTGTATTGGGAGTGGTAGCTAGAGAGAAAGTGTCGAGCATCAAAAGCTGTAAACATTTCTAAGATAGGTAATTTTTCAATTACAACACACTCCATAGCGGACAGATATTGACTCATAAAGGCATTGACACTTCATATCCACGCCACTTACATTGCTGATTTGCAAGGCATTGATTTGGGCCTGCAGCATGACTGGCGTGTCGGAAGGAATGTTGATGTTGGTTTTGTCTTTATTCCAGGCTTCTTGATACAGTTTCTGTGGAGAGAAGGAAAATTTTATTTCAATATTTCATAGAGAATGGAGATCTGAAACATAAAGTCTAAGTGACCATTTAATCTGGAATAATGTTTTTATATATGGTTGTGATGGTTAATTTTATGTGTCAACTTGCCTAAGCCACAGTACCCAGACATTCAGTCAAACATTATTCCAGACATTCTGTGAAGGTATTTTTAAGATGACATTAACATCTCAGCAGACTTTGGGTAAAGCAGACTACCCTCCATATTGTAGGTGGGCTTTGTCTAGTCAAAGGCCTTTTTAGAAAAAAGTCTGACTTCCTCTGAACAAGAAGTCACTCTGCCTGTCGATGCCTTTGGGCTTGAACTACAGCTCCTTCCTGCCTCCAGTCTGCCGCCCACGCTGCAGATGTTGGACTTGCCGCCTCCACAACAGAGCCAATTCCTTACAACCAATCTCTCTCTCCTACACACCCTACTGGTTCTGCTTTTCAGGAGAACCCTGACTAATACAATCTTATACCATTTAATATGCAGCATTGTGCCACAGGTTTTAGTATTTTATAGAACTTAGGAGAACGCTGACTAATACAATCTTATACCATTTAATATGCAGGCAGCATTGTGCCACAGGTTTTAGTATTTTATAGAACTTAAATATTTGTTTTCCTGACGCACAATGGAGTAACACTTTTCTAGTTTTAATGCTTCCAAATGTGTGGCAGGGGACGGGCACCTTGGCATGCATCAGAGTTCTGCTTCACATGCGTCCTCACTGAACTAGTCAAGAGACTCTTAGAGGTGCTCCCATCACTACAGTCTTTGAAGAGGAACAGTCCGCCTGTCCCCTGTGGCTGGCCTCATTTGATAACAAAGCCCCACAAAAGGAACGCCTGAGATAAAATGGTTCTTACCTCACTAATTTGCAGAGAATTGGCTTTTGCCAGGACAACTTCTGGAGTGTCAGTAATGCAAGTGAATGTCAAGGCTTCTGGTCGCGTCCGATAGAGCCTTTCATTCATCAGGTCTTGAGCACCTTTCACTCTGGTCATTTCTACTGAGCCTTCTGGCATCCAGCCGATGCCACGCAACCACTCCAGGTCTGCCTTATACACACTCTACAAGGGGTTAGAACAAAATTTTGTTCCCGTGTTAGACACATTATCCCGTAATTGAAAAGTAAAGTTCATGGGGAGATGGTGGTTCCAAAAAAGAAAGACCTGAGATTTTACATAACTTGGGGGTTGTAATATCAATGACAGAGTAATTTGTAAAAGCCTGATTCTTTATACTAACCATGAATAGGAATACACTAGTAATAATGTTAAATTTTATGATAATTATTTTATATTTTAAAAAATTATAAAATAAACATTTTAAAAAGGAAATTTTGTTGACTCTCATTCCATTTTCATCCTGTAAAAAGAAACCCATGCAAAGTCCGTTCAGTGTGTTGGATATAATATAGTAGAGGCAATTAAAAAAAAACCCATTCATACAATTTAAGTTTGTCTGAAATATATTTTCATTGCCAAAAAATAAAAATGACATGAAGAAAATAGTCTGGAATATAGTCCAGGGAATAAAGGACATGACCAAGTAGCATTCTTTATCTATAATCTTTGCTCCCAGCTTTACTTCTAAATATGTTTTTATTAAACAACGTGAATGGTGCCTCCTGGAGTTGTGCACAACCCATGAGTCTGTCCACAGAGGAAATGACTGGAAAATTAGTAAATCTACATCCTCCCATTCCACCTTTCCCAGCGTTCATGTTACGTACATCACTCTGCAGCTCATAGGCCCTCTTTGCTTGGATAATGTCGTTTTGATCGGGTAAGCATGTCCAGTGATGCAGGATATTCCGGTAGTCAATGTCACTGACCAGTGTCTGACATTTCTTGGCCAGCAAGATGCCTAACATATCCACTGGGGTACTATACTTGGTCTTCGATTTTTCAAAGTCCTTCTTGTACTCTCTTTCACTTTGAATCTTCCCTGCATTTATGGCACACATGATTTTGGGGTCATCTTCAATGCTCTGGGCTCCAATGTGGTGGCCTTTCTGTTTTTCATATGCTTCTTTGTATTTGTACTAAAATGTCAGAAATATAGGTTTAGAAATCCAGTTCTATTACCATATACACACTGAGAATGACAACATGAACATCCATTAGCAAACAGATAAGAATTTTACTTTGCAAATGTTTTGGCATCTCTGAATAATTTTAAACTAATATTTTATGCTATCATTACACTAATAACTGTAGTGTAATCATATATCTTCATTGGTGGAACCCTTTCCTCCATCAACTCTAACTGTGATTCCAAAAATATATTTTTCTTCTCTATGACAACAAAGGGAAAGGTCTTAGAACGTAGCAAGCAGGCCTGGAGGAATACATGTGGAAGCAGTTACAAAGTGGGGCCCGCCAGCTGCACTAAGGTTGTTCAGCAATGTGAGACCAAGGGGGTCGGATCGAGGGCACTTACGTCACTGGCAATGTCCCTCGAGGCCTTGGCACTTTTGATGGAAATAGCATCAGCTCTCAGGTCATAGTCCTTCATCTTTGATTCATCCCATCCCTTGGTGTAAAGTTTCTGTGTGGAGGATAATACACAACAGAAAAATAAAAGGGTGATAGACAGTTACTAGGCCTATTCCAGAAAGGAAGGTGGTAAGATAGAAACAGTATTTGAATTACTCCTAGAGCAGCTTAAACAACAATCAGGAAATCTCTTACTTGGCTGATATTGACAGAATTGCTCTTGGCCAGCATGATTTCTGGGGTGTCCGGCATCACATGGATGGAAGTTTTGTCAGCATCCCAAGCTTCTGTATATAAGTGCTATGAGGGAAATAAGGTAAGACCCATATTTTTTAAAGGCGGTACATTACAGTTATTATCACATTTAACTCACTTAAGTAAAATAGCCTATTTAAGGTTATTTGGAGATGAGGGAAGCAAAAGGGTAGTGAGGAGAGTTAAACCATATGATCGTTTCACAGCTAATACGAAACAACATAATGATCTCAATTATTAATTCTTTTCATCCAGTAATACTCAAGCTTACTCAGTACCTCCAAGGATGGAGCTTGGCTATAGAACTGTGATGTAGTAGAAATCCCTAGACTTCAGAGTCAATCCCAAGTTCAAACTCAACTCCACTATGTCCAAGCTATGTGATATTGAAAAAGGTGCATAATGCCTCATATTCCTCATTTCTTGGAGGGAGATAATCATATCTTTTTTATTGAGTATTTTTTGAAGATTAACAATAACATATAAAATGCATCAGTCATAGTAGGCACTCAACGAATTGTATATTTTCTATTGCTGTCATTACTGTGGTTACTGCTGATGGGTGTGGTATAGAATAGAATTTCTGGAGCGTTAATACCCCTAATTCTGAGGTTTGCTGAGAGCCAATTTCACATTCTTCAATGAGCAAGCACTCAATATCACCACCTGAATGTTTGGAAGATGTCCAGGCAGGTGTGGGAGAATTTAGATAAGTTGAATTCAATCTAAAATGTGCATATTAAGGTTCTATCCACTGGATAAAGAATTCGCTCAGTCTCAATAAACAGATTGCTAGAACTCCGGAAAAAAGAACTGATCATCTATCTTATGTAATAAAACTGAAAGCAACAATAGCAGCTCACTTTTCAAAACAATTTCCACAACCTAAGGAGAAAGAATAAACCAAGCAACTAATTTGAGTTGTGTATGGTACTTCTATAAACACTGTGTTTCCCAGACTTTAAAACAAAAGGCTAAATGTTATATATTTCTCACTTTATGAGCTATATTCACGAGAAGTATGACTCAGGTAACTGGAAACAGATGAAGACTAACCTTGCTCATTGTCAGGGCATTACTCTTTGCCAGGACAATTTCTGGGGTATCTGTAATGCATGTGAATTTGAGCTTATCTGCAGGCAGACGGTACTTCCTGTCACTCAGGATTTCTCCAGCTCTCTTCACCTTTTCGACCTCTACGGAGCCAATGGGCACCCATCCAATGCCTCGCAGCCACTCAAGATCAGCCTTGTAAATAGCCTGAAAACGAAATAATGTCAAATATTTATTAAAAATTACCTAGACAACTTGGTGTCTGACCCTGATTTAGCATTTACAGAGGATGTATAATTCTGAATCTTACTTGTGTAAATTTCTGGGAAGACCCACTGTGGTACAGAGGGGCTAAACACTTTGTTCCTGAAGGTAGCCTTGTTTTAAATACCCCGAAATCGCTATAATAATATGGATTTCATTGATACAAAACCATTTTAAGGAAATTACTGTCTGCCTCCTGATACAAAGAGCTTATTTTCTGATTTGATTGCCCATATTGTGTGGGACTAATAGAACACAGTTTGTTCTTATCTAATTGGACAATGGCCTTCACAGCCAGTCCTATAATATAAAGAAAGGATGACCACATGTTGAATTAATGTACTTTCTGGGAACAACAAAAAGGGTGTCTTTTTCATATAATTCTATATACATGCTTCTAAGACAAAGAGTACATATATTTTTACTCTTATTTATCTTATTTTCAGTCCTCTTTTCTGTCATAATTCAAGTAAAATAAGATATTTCGTCTTTCTTTCAGTTTTATTCTTTGAATTTAAATAATTGCTTGAAGGATAATTTTTCTCATTATTAAGGGTAACAATCCTTTTTATTTTTATGGATTTTTGGGAAACTCTCTTTTTACAGTGCCACGACTTTTATCATTCTTTTGAAAGTGACTACTTATGAGAGCCTGATTTAAAAAACAAAAAGGAGCTACTAAACCAATAAGGTAGCATTTAAGTGCTCAGGACAATTTACTAGCTGATAACAAAAGTGCCTGACATATTCCTAGGAAAGTATTGTTTTCAGCTTCTTGGATAAATTATCTCAATGTATAATTCATTCCTAAACTTTCTTTTACCAGTTATAATAGATATTCCTGTAAATTAAGTAGTCAGAAAAAGGTAATGCAATCAATTCATTTGGAAAGTTAGGTTTAGTTAATCCCTAGAGTGCCGGGGAGCGCGATCACGCTCCTCCTGTCTTTCGCCAAAAGTGCCAGGAGCGCTATCAAAGCTTCGAAATGGCGTCCAGTTCTAAGTCTGCTTTTATTAGTGATGATGATATTGCTAAATATGTCAATGTAGTAAAGGTTTCCTTAAGTTTTTGAATATGTAACTTCATTTACTTGCGATTCATAATTTTTTTCCTAAACTGCTGTAAAATCAGCAAAAATGCCTTGGCAATTTTAGCATAGTTCCTAGGATATTGGTTGGCACTCAAAGGGTTAAACTAGAACATCAATGAACTTAGATAGAAAAAAATATATATTTATTTTCATTAACCTCTAATGGAAATATAGCATTTCTTTCAGTTATGAGTTTAGTCAAGAGATCATAGTAGTATTGACACTGCATGAGATTTGGTTGGCAACAGAGATGGCAAATATTTTCATATCCAATTACAGTTGTGCAGACATCTTGAAATATGTATGCTCATAACTGCTTTGAAATTAAGCTAGTTATAACACTCACTGCTAGATATTTTCATTTAATGTGTCAATAAAAATCCATATATAAAAATGTATACACACACACACACACACATATATGTATATGTATCTATACTAAAAAATGCCTGTGGCCCTAACGCCGTAATGACCAAAGACCAGTGTGGGTGGGCAGGGCTGCAAGCGCGGCAGGGGGTGGGCGGGTAAGTGGGTCCACGTGATTTTGTGCGCTGGGCTTCTAGTGTATATATATTTTAGATTTATACTTTTTATGACATTGTCCTGAGAAGTTGTCCATAGGTCTCAACAGATTGCCAAAAAATTCCATGGCACACAAGAAGTTAGACCTCATTTTTAAGCTTTAAAAACACATTTTGAATAATAGTAGACCTACTCACATCACTCTGAAGGTCATAGGCCTTCCGAGCCTGAATGACGTCATTCTGGTCGGGCAGACAGGTCCACTCATGCAGGGGATGCTTGTAGTCTATGTCGCTTACAAGGATCTGGCACTTCTTGGCCAGCACCACGCCCAGCATGTCCACGGGGCTGCTGTACTTGGTCTTTGACTTCTCAAAGTCCTTCTTGTACTCCCTGTCACTCTGGATCTTGGCCACGTGCATGGACCACATCATCTTGGGGTCGTCTTTGATGTTCCGGGCTCCAATGTGGTGGCCGAGTTGTTTACGATAGCCTTCCTTGTACTTGTACTGAAAAAAAGAAAAGGGATATGAGTCTAATGATAAGAACATCTCATATCACATTTCATAATTTCATATACAAATTTCTGTATTTATTTTGATCTTTGCTACCATTAGTGTGAGAAAGGTAAATATTGTCAAGCCCGTTTTATAAAATAGAAACCTAAAACTTAAAGGGATTAATTTATTCAAGGCCACATCATAAGTGGGAGGCAGAGTTCAGACTAGAATGAAGTAGCTTCTGGTTCCTAATATTTTTCCCTTTCTCTTAAACAATACTACCTAGTTTACATTGGATTGCTTAACAAGTAAAGGTAAAACATCTTGTATAATCTAAAAAAGCATCTACTTAATTTAAAGATGTGGCTATTTTTTTCTAAAAAAAATGTTTTGATGCTTAGAATATCTTCCTTGTAATTAGAATTTATGGTGAATTCCTTGGTTGAGTATATGGGCCACATTTAGATAGTTTCACCAGAAAATGCCTCCCTTATTAGCCTGTTAATGTCATTGAACTTTCACTGTGAGAAAGTCATGCCTTGGGTCAACAGTCTCCTTACTTTTAAAATTCAAGAATAACATCTTATGGTCCATTTTGCCATGAGATGATCATAGTATGGGCTTCTTCAGTTTAATAGCCAGAAAAAGTTTAAATAATTGAAGGAATGAAGCATAAATCTAAAGTGTGGGATCCTTCTAGAACAGTGATGGCGAACCTATGACACGCGAACTCATTTTTTTGGTTGATTTTTCTTTGTTAAATGGCATTTAAATATATAAAATAAATATCAAAAATATAAGTCTTTGTTTTACTATGGTTGCAAATATAAAAAAAATTCTATATGTGACACGGCACCAGAGTTAAGTTAGGGTTTTTCCAAATGCTGACACGCCGAGCTCAAAAGGTTCGCCATCACTGTTCTAGAGGAAGAAAAATCTGGATTTGGGTTCTAAGCAGCCCTGGAACATAATGAGGGCATGGGACACCCCCCGGAGATGTTTCTCATGAGAAAGGAAGGAACAGAGAGAAGAGATAAGTGGGTACTGAGAAAAAGCTTTGCTTACTTCTCAATTTGTTCTTGTAACCAGTTAGGGGCCTCTGGGTAGGAAAACTTCACTGAAAGTTAAAAAGTATGAACTAAAACTCTAAACGCGTCCATCATCAAGTCTTCTTTTAATGCCAAAATAAATGGATACAAGTAGTAGAAAAGTGTTCACATTTATATTGGTTGATTTGCATGTGCTATCAATGTATTTTTTTAAACAAATATCTGGATCAACTGCTGCTCAATTTCTGACACTCAAAAATATGAACTCATTTTTAGTGTGCATAAAATATTTACTTTTAAAGAAAATTTCTCTCTTTAATTGATTAATAGGTATAATGGGCATAGTATCTTATGCTTTTCTTCATTTTTCTTTGCAACTTTGTACATTGGGAAATCGCTAAATGAAATTGAGACGTGTAGGGACAACAAAAATTCTGTCAAGAAAAATTACAAAAGCTTCCATTTGTGAACATCTTTGAATAAAAAATGCCTCTTCTAAAAACATCAACTTACCTCACTGGCAATATCTCTTGAAGCCTTGGCTGCTTGGATTGGAATGGCATCCACACGCAAGTCATAGCCTTCCTTCCTGGACTCTTCCAAAGCAAGTTTATAGAGTTTCTGCAGAAAAGAGAGTCATTAAATCACTCCTCCTTTCATAAAAAATAAAACTGTTAATTATTAAACGTTTTCCATCCTCATTTAAACTTCAGAAACAAATCCACAAAGTGAAGTATTAGGGTGGGTTTGTAAAAAATTTGGTTTCATAGGCACTTAAAGATTTTAAGGGACATGTTCTGAACTTTGGAATTTTATTGATTGGCAAATTTCAAAAATTTGGGGTTGCCAAAATTTTGTCTTGCCAAACAAACACATGCTAAAAAACCTATTTACTATCACTATCATAAAATAAAAGGCCATTTTAATATTAAAGAAGGAGAAAGAATAAGGAAAGTATTTTAAAACGAAATATATTTGGACTCATAAAAAACTCAAGGCCTTGTCCTTTTTCTTCCTCATTTTGTTGTGGATTATCATTACAGACTGTGATCTACTTGTAGAGTAGAGTTTCAGAATCACTGGCCTGATGAAAATGTTGTTCCTAAATGAAACACCTAGAAAAATGCTTGCAAACAACATGAAATGGTAACCAGAACATTAATAAAGCAGCAAAAACAATCATTAGTGAGTTCCAAGCCAGTGCCTACCTGATAAATAGTTATTGAACCAAATAATGACTTGATACCCACATTGTCATATAGGGGAAGGCTTGAGGAGTATAATTTCTATTGGAACATTCCTCCATAAGCATTCCATTCCTGATACTCTGTTACTAAAGGGCTGGCCTACTTTGTAGATCTAACATATAGTCCAAAATTGAATCAAGGGAGAACTATCTCTTACTGGCAATGTTAGTTTGGAGTATGTACAATAAATTAGTCAAAACAGTTCATTAAGAAGACAGTTACAACAGTTCATTTTTGTCTTCTGTTCATTATAAAAGCAATCGTTTACTCACATCACTATAGTTTATTCTGTTAAGCTTGGCTAGCATGATTTCTGGAGTGTCAGGCATAACATGGATTGTTTTCTTATCATTGTCCCAGGCTTCAGTATATAAGCGCTATGAAAAAAAAAGATGAGAAAAATTATTTTGGAGTTCACAGATACTTCTTTGATTATGTGCCAGTCATCTCGCCTCTAAACAAAGTAGAAATAAAATTATTAAAGTTGCATATAGTCCTATCTTTTATGTAGATAAATTAGTATTTCCAAGAGTATTTATCTCACTATTTTGTTCACTCAGAGTTTTGCTTCTTATTTAAAAAAAACAGTCCTGAAAGTATAATTGGATTGAAGCATTTACAATCTGTAGTTATAAAATAATTATAGCACATTGCATTTTCAACATAAGTTTAATATAACTACCTATGATATTATAATGGAAAAGTAATTTTTAAAGGTATCATAAACCCTATGGGAATTTTTAAAATGTAGTAATATGTCAGCATTTTTAACTTGCTCTAATGTGAATTTTGGTATCTAACAGGGAGGAGTGAAGGCTCACCTTATTCATGTTTATAGCATTGCTCTTTGCCAGCACCTGCTCCGGGGTGTCAGTTATGCTGGTAAATTTCAGTGCATCTGGACGCTGACGGTAGATATTATCACTCAGTATCTCCGTGGCCCTCTTGGCTTTAACAACTTCCAAGGAGCCAATTGGAACCCAGCCAATGCCTTTCATCCATTCAAGGTCTGACTTATACAAATTCTGCAAATCAACAGATAAAAAGCCCACATTCATTAATTAATGTTTCAGATTCATAGTCACAAAATGGCTCATACTAGAGAAAATAAAAAGATAAGGCTCCCAGCACAGTTGATCACTCATGTGTAAACATTATTGAATCCAGAGTATATTTTTTTCCTAAGCATCTTTTTTCCTATTGATGAACAGATAAGGCTCCCAGCACAGTTGATCACTCATTTGTAAACATTATTAAATCCAGAGTATATTTTTTTCCTAAGCATCTTTTTTCCTAAGCATATTTTTTTTTTTGTACAGAGGATTATACCAAGAACTAGGAAATATTTTTTTTATATAGTAAAAGACACAGTCATGTCTTTGAGTGTATTACAAAATTTTTACACAAGATAGTATATTAGATATTTCCCAAATTATTCCTTTTATTTTACTCTCAATAGGACATGCTAATTGTTAATAAAATTAGATTATTGTTTTTTTAAGAACCAACTTTATTTTATTTTTTATTGAATTTATTGGAGTGGCATTGGTTCACAAAACCATACAGGTTTCAAGTGTACAACTCAACAAAACATCATGAAAAAGATAAGAATGCCTTAGAATTTTCCTGTCAGTAGGTATAAAATATGAATGTTTGTTAAAATAATTTAGTGTAATATACTTTTGTTTCCTAACTCTCCCCATACTACCCTCCATTGACATATACATACATTTATACCACTTCTGAAAAAAAAAAGTGTAGCTACATATTTTTTGAGGATTGAGTTTCATCTAACTCAGACAGAGGAAGCCCAAATTACCAGGAAGAAATATACCTATATAAAATTGATAATATATACTTTATTTCCTCTTTTACATATAACTTTTGGGGATGAAAGATTTTGAAATAATTTGTAGTGTTACCAATGGGAAACTGTTTTTGGAACATTCAATTGTATACTATTTAGAAATATGCAAACAAATTCTACCAGTGATGTCGAACCTCTGACACGCATGTCAGAGGTGACACGCGAACTCATTTTTTTGGTTGATTTTTCTTTGTTAAATGGCATTTAAATATATAAAATAAATATCAAAAATATAAATCTTTGTTTTACTATGGTTGCAAATATCAAAAAATTTCTATATATGACATGGCACCAGAGTTAAGTTAGGGTTTTTCAAAATGCTGACACGCCGAGCTCAAAAAGTTCGCCATCACTGTGTCCATTGGCACTAGTCAGAACCCACGGACATGCTTCAGATCTGCTTTTAACATGCAGAACCAGCATCAGGAATACTCACGTCGCTCTGGAGGTCATAAGCTTTCCGAGCGTGGATGACGTCATTCTGGTCGGGCAGGCACGTCCACTCATGAAGGAGATGTTTATAGTCCACATCACTGACCAAGGTCTGACATTTCTTGGCCAAAACGATGCCAAGCATGTCCACCGGGCTGCTGTATCTGGTCTTGTATTTCTCAAATTCTTTCTTGTACTCGAGGTTACTCAGCACTTTGGCAATGTGAAGGGACCACATCATCTTGGGGTCGTCATGGATTGCTCGGGCACCAATGTGGTGACCCAGTTGCTTACGATAAGCTTCTTTGTATTTGTACTGAAAGAGAGAACCAGTAAAAGAGGAGGAAGCTTGACGAGCTCTTCCCTGTTGTTCTTGCTGCGGTGATGCTTTTCTGTGAAACCCTTAAGACACGCGGGGCGTTTCATCATGTGCTGCTGTGAGCGACACATTGGGGTGTGCTGACTCCCAAAGAAGAGGATGGTGCTCTTGCTGCGGTGCTGCTTTCCTGTGAAACCCTTAAGACACTCAGGGCATTTCATCATGTGCTGCTGTGATGCGATACATTGGGGTGTGCTGACTCCCAAAGAAGAGGATGGTGTGCTCACTCTCATGCTCCCACAGTATAACTCCCCAGTGAGTCCTTTATATTGTGCTAAAAATTATTTGTTGGCAAAAAGTGATTAAAAGTGAACATTGAAAGGCTGAGCTCAATTAGAGTGACAGTGTCTCAGAAGTCGGTCATGTGGGAGGGTGCATCCGAGATGTGTTTACATGGTTCGTTAATTTTATTTTCCTAAGGCATTCTGAGAAATTTCCTCTGCACAAACAATCTGGGGGGCGGGTAGTTTAAAACCAGGCAATTTTTGTTGTTTGATGGGTATAGAGTTTCAGTTTTGCAAGATGAAGAAGTGAGAACATACTTAACACTACTGAACGGTACACTTGATAATGGTGTTATGAGTTGTTTTATCATGCTAAAAAAAAAGAAAAACCTATAAAAACGGACAATATTGTTACTCTTGGATTAAAGTCTAGGTTGTCAAGGAATCTGATGTTTTTATTTTTAGGGTAAAGGAATATTGATTTTGTGGACCCCTCAGCAGGAAAATTTATAGCTTTCTTGCTATTCTATGTCCTTCTTCAAGTCATGGGGAGAACTCAGTTAAACTTACTTCTTTCCTGGAGTTTTTGCCTTGGGTGTATCCTGAGGAGAGCTCATGGGGCTTTAGCAGTAGCTCAATACATGTCCATCTAACTAATCAAGGCTCTCAGTTTTATTAAGAAAAACCCAAGTGACAAGAATCAAAGAAACCACATTCCAAGCCAGGCTTTGTCCTGTGATGCTTGTGACCTTGGGCAGGTTACCTACTGTCTCAAAGCTTCCATGTATTTGCCTACACAATAAAGGTGGCTAAGATGGATGATGACGGAAGAGACTTCCAGCTGTGTTTCTATACTGGGATGCCCCATGTAGGAACTGGCCTGTTGGTAACAAAGGTAGGGACTTCATCAGCACTTACATCACTGGCGATGTCCCTGGAGGCCTTGGCAGCCACAATGGAAATGGCGTCACTTCTCAAGTCATAGCCTTCTTTCTTGGCTTCTTCCATGGCCTGGCGATAGAGGCTCTGAGAACAGAAGTAATACCTTTTAGTTAAGGCACTTGCTTTCACTCTAAAAATGTATTTTTGCCTAAGGAAGACTACCTTTGGATGCAGAACTGCACTAGTATATTCTGCTTTAAATATATTTTTAAAAGATATAAGCATACCTCTTCTTTATAGATACATTGTATTAGGCAAAAAGAAATCAATATGGGTAATCAAAACAATGAATATGGCCAAGTCTTGAAAATGAGTACTTAAATTTTCCAATGCTCTCAAACTGAAGAAAAGTCTGCCTTCCCCCTCTCTTGTTAAAAACACATGCATGTACACACACACACACACACACACACGAAATCAAGATTTTTCCTGAATAAGCCAGGTAATTGTTCTTTGTCAAGAACAATTGGGCAAGAAGCTGTTTCTTCAACAGTATTTCTGGACTGCAAAAATATATGATGACAAATTTAGCTGGAGATAATGCATAAAAGAATGTATTTTACTGTCTTCAGACAATTCCCAAATGGATAAATCTAAGAATTCTCTTTCAGTTCTTATAAATAAACAAATACACCTCAAGTTATTTTGAGCATGTTAAAAATTTAATTTTCATGGTGACTTGAGTGTGAAGGGAAAAAATTAAAGTTACTAAGCAACTATTTTGTACCAGGCTCCACACTGGGCATATTATATATATGACCTTATTTAGTCATCACAGAAATTCCATGATAGGCATTTTATCTTGTTTTACAGATGAGTAACTGAGGAAAAATTCACAGAACAATTTTGTAGCAAGTACTAATCTGATAAGAGTAATAATTATTTTTAATTAAAATTACAATTTGTTTCAATCATTAATAATTGACTTTGAAAGCTTTCCCCCCTTCTGGAGAAATTTTTATATTTATCAATTTCTCTATCTATCTATCTATCTATCTATCTATCTACTTTTTGAATTCAGTAATACATATATTCAGGGTAGAGTAATGGGCATAAAAATAAAAATATTTGGTCCTCATGAGAATTAAATCCATAATTCTGACCTTCTTACTACACCAGCAAAGATCAATGTGGTCAGATCAAGGAAATAAAGTAAATAGTCTTACCTCACTATAATTTATTTTATTTTGTCTTGCCAACATAATTTCAGGTGTATCAGGCATGATATGGATTTGGGTCTTGTCTTTGTCCCAGGCTTCTGTGTATAAGCGCTATGAAAGATAAAAAGGTTAATGAATTAGAAACACAATGTTTGCTGTAAACAGGAGTTTGCAATTTAGAGATCATGACAAAGTTGAAAGCCAGCATCCTCACTATTTGTGCTGTGTGCTTTATACCATACTCTTCAGTCGCCTTAATATTACAAGATATTTATTATCACTAAATATAAATGTAGACTAAGATATGACCAGTAAACATATGTGTTTCATTTCAAGATCACCTCCATTCCAATTAAATGAAAAGCAAATATTTCCAATCATATATGCACATCCATATGCACTGTGGCTATATAAACAAATCCTTCCCATAGTTTTGTTGTTTGTTTGTTTATTAACTGCAAATATACCTGGATTAGCCATCTCCAGATTTCTTATTTTATAAATGTTATGGAGATGTGAATTTGACTTGTTTGTTCCATATTTACCTAGATGAATACCCAACAAGAAAGAAACCTTGATACCAAACCAGGTGTAACTCTCACAGACTTCAAACAGTTTGCACACTAAAAAGCTGTCCTATTTTTAATTCTGGCTATTTCCCAAGAGGCCTCAAAGCAGAAATTCCCACATATATTTTTGAAATCCTAATGTAACTGAATAGAGAACTCAACCAAATCACTATACATAGATGGCAATGGCATAAAACAAAAAAGATGAATTAATTATCAATATCCTCAAGAGCATATAGCCCTGTTTTACTTTCCCCCAAACTGGGGGCTCACCTTGTTCATGGTGATGGCGTTGTTCTTTGCCAGCACCTGTTCCAGGGAGTCAGTCACGCTGGTGAATTTCTGCTTGTCTGGAGGCTGGCGGTAGATGTTGTCACTCAGTATCTCTGCAGCTCTCTTGCACTTGACCACATCCAGCGACCCGATGGGGACCCAGCCAATGCCTCTCATCCACTGGAGATCTGATTTATACATGTTCTGGTGAGATAAAAACAAAGGCAAGTATTACTCAAGCTGTTATGACACTTGATTTCAAAAATAAAAGAAAAAGACTGGAAACTTTGGATAGCTAAACTCCATGTCTATTAAAATATAAAGGCCAATTGGATAAAGATTCATGTACTATGTTCTCTTTAAAAGAAAAGGCACAATGAATGAGGGGTGAAGAAGAAAAGCATTATTCTTTCTGAGAGCTTTATCTAATCCTAGATCATTATCTATGTATTACTACAGTTATTTTCAACATTTTTAATCTCATGGCACACATAAACTAATTACTAAAATTCTATGGAACATCAAAAAATATATTTCTTGCCCTAACCGGTTTGGCTCAGTGGATAGAGCATCGGCCTGCGGTCTGAAAGGTCCCGGGTTTGATTCCGGCCAAGGGCATATACCTTGGTTTCGGGCACATCTCCAGTAGGAGGTGTGCAGGAGGCAGCTGATCGATGTTTCTTGCTCATCGATGTTTCTAACTCTCTATCCCTCTCCCTTCCTCTCTGTAAAAAATCTGAAAAAGAGGTACAATTTTGACTCATTCACATCAGACGGCTATCATTGTGTTGGCTGTTGTCATATTTTAGTTTGACAATCTAAGGGAAAAAAGGTCAGTGCCCCTGACTAAATAGTTAGATATTGCATGTTTTAAAAATTCTTACAGCATGATGGTTGGATATCACTGTATTACTATCTTGAGGTTGGTGACCATTGGTATGTAATGGGTCTCAGTACTCACGTTGCTCTGGATTTCATAGGCCTGCCGAGCGTGGATGACGTCATTCTGGTCGGGCAGGCACGTCCACTGGTGCAGGTAGTTCTTGTAGTCCACATCACTGACCAACGTCTGGCACTTCTTGGCCAGCACCACGCCCAGCATGTCCACGGGGCTGCTGTACCTGGTCTTCGACTTCTCAAAGTCCTTCTTGTACTCCCTGTCACTCTGGATCTTGGCCACATGCATGGACCACATCATTTTGGGGTCATCCTTAATGTTCCGGGCTCCAATGTGGTGGCCAAGTTGCTTGCGGTAACCATCTTTGTATTTGTACTGAAATAAAAGCAGTGATTTTAAAAATAAAATAAATAAAAAGGTCTAAAAGTTTTATTAATTTAAAAGTTTATTATTTCAAAATTGGTAATTCTTTCAGAGAAATGGAATCATCTGAATATCAACTTATCTCCTCATCCTAAACTCTGATTAGACTTCACAATACTCTAATGCAGCGGTTCTCAACCTGTGGGTCGCGACCCCTTTGGCGGTCAAATGACCCTTTCACAGGGGTCACCTAAGACCATCCTGCATATCAGATATTTACATTACGATTCATAACAGTAGTAACATTACAGTTATGAAGTAGCAACGAAAATAATTTTATGGTTAGGTCACAACATGAGGAACTGTATTTAAAGGGCCAGAAGGTTGAGAACCACTGCTAATGGGAAGCTATGCCAAACTATGTAGTTTTATGGTTTGCAGACATAAAGTCCCTAAAACAAAAGCAGCAACACTTTTAAGAAAAATCCGTTGGAATTATATGCTGTCTTTTCTTCATCTTGGGCCAGTGAAACCAGAAATCTTACATATGATTTTGAGAATGCTACTCCTGAGTGCACAGATATGATTTCACCCTCCAAACCACCTGTTACCCCTCCCAAACACGGCTCTGCGGAATTTTATTTGACTCCCTGCAATGGACTGGCTTGGGTTTTCCATCTAGTGTGTCCGGCTCTGTCAGACATCAAATTTGGCTGAGACTTGTTGGTTGGGATTCCTCAAGTAAGAAATCAGATTCTATAACTACAAGAAAGCTTATTGTTGGAGGTGGTGGGAAGTGCTGACTCCGGTATTTTCTCTCCACTTCAGGTAAGAACATGACACAAATCCTAATGTATATTTATGGAAGTCTGAGTTCTCCACCAAAGGACCCACTTCCTTCAGAAACAGCCAAAAGAGAAATCAGGCTCACCCTTTTGTTGGTTTTTGGTTGCTTGCCTTTGCTTTTCTGTTTTTGGTTAAAAGGAACTCAAAGGAGGCACTTAAGATAATTTTTCAGAGGAAGAGTTGACAAAAACACAGAGCACGTTGGGGGAAAGGTGTATTTCCCTAGACCTAGCTGTAACCAGGTCTTTTTCTGATGTTGAACCAATACATGTAACCACGTTATTTTTTAAAACTTTTCTGGCATTTTCTTATTTCTCTGTGGGTTCTGTGCTCAAAATATGGAGATAAATGCCTCATAATTATAGATATGAGCAATTGTATATTCAAATTTAATTTTATACTGAAGTTTAGGATACCTTTCTCTATGGGGCCTGAATATTAAAGTTTTTTGGAATTAAAAATATAAAAGAGCTTTTTCTAATGAAAAACATTTCTTTCATTTAAATCACAATAAATGTACTTAATTGGCACACAGATGCAGGTCCCTGTTGGAATGATGACCGTGATGACCCTGTCCCGTCCAGCCATGTACACGGAGTGTTGTTACTCACATCGCTGACGATGTCTCTGGAGGCCTTGGCCGCCACAATTGGGATGGCATCGCTTCGCAAGTCGTAGCCTTTCTTCTTTGCTTCTTCATTGGCAAGTTTATACAGAGTCTATAGAAGGAAAGTCAAGGTTAAAGCAAGAGGCTTGAGAGCAACCATTTGAAGAGTTTCAAGTGACATACCATTTCATCTTAAAAAGGATAGGTTCTGGAAACAATTTAAAATTCTAGTAATATTGAAGGTAAATAAATCATATCTTACCAAAAAAACTAAATAGCATTAGAAACAAGTGAGATATACCAATGGGTAAAAGCATAGACTGATATATTAATCTATTATTAATCTACTATGGTACCTAATAGATTAATATATAATACTAGAGGCCGGGCACACGAAATTCATGCATGGGTAGGGTCCCTAGGCCTGGCTGGCAATCAGGGCCGATCTGTGGGGCAACCAGCAGGGTGATGGGGGGGGCCTGCTGGCACCTGCCTTGGCTGGCCTGGTGCCGCCTGCTTGCCAGTCCCACACCCTGCTGCTGCCACAGGTTGCCTCCCTCTTCGAAGTGACCAGCGGGGCAATTGGGGAGGCCTCTGCTTGCACCCGCCATGGCTGGCCTAGGGTCTGTGGGCTGAGGGCAGCTCCTGCATTGAGCGTCTTCCCCCTGGTGGTCAGGGCATGTCATAGCGACCAGTCATTCCACAGGTCATTCTGCCGTTCAGTTTACTTGCATATTATGCTTTTATTATATAGGATATAGATTTATATGATATGTTATTCATATCAAGAGATTAATATAATCTAGAAATATAGATTGATGGATAAACATCAATTTATACATATTTCAAAATGAAAAAGAACTTACAGAATATATTTAATTTTTTGTTTATTATATATATACTTATATACTTTTACTCATTTCTTTATAATTTAAAATTTTTTGACAATCGTAATATTTTATCATTTTTAGAAAAAAAAAAGAAAAAATTGAAATACCATTTAAAAAGTAGATAACTTGACCACCATCACAACTTTGATTCTAAATCTTAGCTGTATCATGTTAGTAGCACATGCATTTATGACATTGCATTTTACTTAAAAAAACACACACAATAATCAGTGTTGTTAATGGAGAACACTGCTTTTCATGCCTGAGGCTTTCTTTCTATAAAAGGAGCTCAATTATTTTATCTCTGGCCTTACTCCTTTTCCAGGTGCCTTTACTCTCTGCCCCTGGAGAGGTGTAGGGATTTACTGATTTATCTAACTGTAAGGCTGGGATAACTGGGTACGCCCAGCTCAGCCCTACACTGTTCCCTCTAGGCACAAGCTCAGTGCCCTCCTCCGTGCCCCTGGGCTCTAAGTGGGACCACACCCTGAATGGGGTGGAGCTGATTGTCCTGCTACAGGGTGGCTTGCACCTGAATGAGGAACCCAATTCCTTGGTTCAGTGAGCAGACTGCCTCTCCTACAAATGTGTTCTTGAGCCTAACTTTAGTAGTAACAAAGGTGAGATTTTAGTTTCATTTCTACTCTTTAGTTTTCCTTCTCAATTTTACTGAGGATCCAGGTGGGGAAGAGGTGCATATTAGCAGAGCCCCCTTAACACAGTGGCCTGCGCCTGAATGAGGAACCCAATTCCTTGGTTCAGTGAGCAGACTGCCTCTCCTACAAATGTGTTCTTGAGCCTAACTTTAGTAGTAACAAAGGTGAGATTTTAGTTTCATTTCTACTCTTTAGTTTTCCTTCTCAATTTTACTGAGGATCCAGGTGGGGAAGAGGTGCATATTAGCAGAGCCCCCTTAACACATTGCCAGATTTAGCAAATAAAAAGATAGCATGACCAGTTGAACTTGAATTTCAGATAAGCAACAAATAATATTTTAGAATAAATATTGAGCCAGTGTTTTATGTGGCTATCCTACCTCTAGCAATGCCAAACATACTACTCAGTCCCACTAACTCACACTAGCAGTGGCCATACGCGGAAAAGGTAATGTGACTTCAGTTTGCCTGTGGAGTCCTATAGCAACCCAGATCTGAAAGGTCGGATGGGCTGAGTGTTCATACCACAGAGCCGCATGTACCATAATAGCTGAGCACTTCCATAAAAGTAAGTGCAGAAAAACCACCGAGAGCAGCAGCAACAAAATAAGTGTAGCACCACAGAACTTTGCTCCTACCTCACTGTAGTTGAGTTGGTTCTGCTTTGCCAACATGATCTCCGGGGTGTCAGGCATGACATGAATTTGAGTCTTGTCTTTGTTCCAGGCCTCTGTATATAAACGCTATCAAAGAAGATATTGATGGAAAACCATTTGAAACAAGAATTACAAATCGTCAACTTACAACAGGATTATTACTGATCTAATTGAGGAAAATAAACTGGACTCGAATATAAGATATTCAATTGGAGGTTTGAGTCTTAATGCTGGTTATCAAGGTTTAAAATAGGAATAATAGAAATCATTTAGAGGCTTTTAGGTATGCAATTTAGGAGGTAAATGTGACCCCACACTTTCATGGGTAATATGACTCCACTAGTCATTGAAGTATAATAACATCTTTTGCATCCTGAAGAAGCTTGGCAGCTGGGGCTCACCTTGTTCATGGTGATGGCGTTGTTCTTTGCCAGCACCTGTTCCAGGGAGTCAGTCACGCTGGTGAATTTCTGCTTGTCTGGAGGCTGGCGGTAGATGTTGTCACTCAGTATCTCTGTAGCTCTCTTGCACTTGAGCACATCCAGAGACCCGATGGGGACCCAGCCAACGCCTCTCAGCCACTGGAGATCAGACTTGTATACATTCTGGGAAGAGGAAAAAGGCAGAAATTCTTCACTAAGACCAAAAGACTTATGGTAAAGATGCAAATGGATTCAGTAATAAAGTACCATTCTGGTTGTTACTGTTTTTCACAGAAAACAAGCTCACTGTATTAGGCAGACGAAAAGAGGAACTATGTTCAAAAATGACCCCCCCCAAATGTCTCCTATCCATAAGAAAAGTGGTCAAATATTTCAGGTTTTTAGGAGAGAAGTGATCCAAAATAATAACTTCTGTAAGTCAGTTCCGTGAATGCTATTGTAATGTCCATGTGCACAGGAAAAGAGTGCCAACCAGAGTAAATAAATATTAGTCCTTGTCAAATCAAATAGTCTGCACCTACTAAAAGCCATATTTGAAGAATATTGATGACTTGTTGAAATGTCAGCAATACAATATTAAGTGAAATAATTATGTAGATATATTGTCTGGATAAATTCAAAAGCAGGAATGGGCTTTTTCAATGGTTGGATTATGCTGGATTATTATTGCCTTCTGTGTATTTTTTCTTATATTTCAAAATATCTGTAATGCTCTTTTTAAAAAAAAAAGAGAGAGAAGTTAAAATAATAATTTAGAATCCCTGAAGCAGAAGTTGGACAGTTGTCACACTATCCAAGACTCAGGGCAATAAGGGACCATTTCATTGGTCCAGGGCCCAGTCTATTCCCTACCAAGTTCTCAGGAAGAGAAGCATTAATTTCTTTCCAGAATAATCTTTTCATATTTTTATTTCTCTCTTTACTTTAAATCATTTTTCCCTGCTAAAGATTTTTGTAAAGAGAAACGGACTCATAGATACAGAGAATAGACTAGTGGTTGCCACAGGGGAGGGAGGGTTGGGGACTGTGTGAAGTAGGTGAAGAGATTGAGAAGTACAGATTGGTAGCTACAAAATAGTCACAGGGATGTAAACTACAACATAGGGAATATACGCAATAATATTATAATAACTATGTACGGTGCCAGGTGGGTACTGGAAATATCGGGGAAAGATTATAAAGTATATGATTGCTTAACCACTAGGTTGTACACCAGAAAGCAATACAAAATAATATTAATGTAAACTGTAATTGAAAAAATAAATAAAAAATAAAAATATTTATTTAAAAAATTGTGTGTACCCATTACATATTCATAACTATATCACAACGAAAGGATTGGACCTTTGCCCAACTCATTAGAAGGATTTTACCTGTAACAACAATAAAGTAGAAAAATAGACTGATCCTTTGCAGTCTAGACAAGAAGCCTTTTGGAATTGTCCTGTGCTGACTAGTTATTGTCCCCTAAATAACAACAGGAGGAATGAAAACAATAATATTTATACCTCTGGAGGGCCTTTTAATGTTCAAATGCTTTCACATTACTAAGACTGTGTCACAGTGTGAGAGAGGCAATCTTGAAAAGGGGCTCAACAAATGGAAGAATGCAAGCTGTCTGTCACTGCTGTCACTCCATGGAGGGCATGAGCCATTTTAACTGCCTTTCATGTGCAGGAAAAACCTTTCTTTTTGGAAAGAATTTCAAAACACAAGGTTCTATATGTCGGAAACTACACAACAGATGTGCGAGTTTTCACAGGTAGACTATACCATTTCTAGGAACAGCCCATTAATGTATAATTATTATTAATTTGTTTTATTCTCCAAAGTCCTCTAATGTTTAATGATTCCTTCAAACGTTTATAAAATAGGTGCTGCAGGAAATGTGCTTCTCACACCCGGTTTGAGATGCTGCACCTGCTTCTCATAGGTCCAGCTTCTGTCACTACCGTGTGACCCCTCCACAGAGAGCCGGGCCAGGAGGAGAAAGTGTCACTGAAATGATCCAATAGCTTCCAGGCTCAGTGACTTTTTAATTTTATTTCATAAGAATAACATTTAATGGCATAGCAGGCATTAGTATTCCATCAATTATAACACCATTTGTTTTGTAAGGAGAGCTAAAAAACAATTTCAGAGTAATTAAAAAAAAAGAATGTGTTCTTGCCTCCTTAAAAGAATAAAAGAAAACATCTCCCTCTGGTGGACCCTGAATTCTAACATTGCTTAATTCTGGTTTTACTTTTATAAGATCAAATCCAGCTTATAAACTTCACTTCCTTATAAATCCTATTAACATATTCACAATAAAGCCATAAAGCTATACACTGATTCAGATACCAAATATCACTCAATAAATCCTAGTTTGAATAGGCCATCGATTGTATACAAAGAATAATTTTTGTATAGTTTATTTCTGCACACAGCTCTGTTATAGATGGTGAATTTGGTGCCACCTATTGCTACCTTCTCCAAGGAATGTGAGTTCACGGATTTCCCACCTTTGCATGTCATTATGATCCTCAGGTACTCACGTCGCTCTGGATTTCATAGGCCTGCCGAGCGTGGATGACGTCGTTCTGGTCGGGCAGGCACGTCCACTGGTGCAGGTAGTTCTTGTAGTCCACGTCACTGACCAACGTCTGGCACTTCTTGGCCAGCACCACCCCCAGCATGTCCACGGGGCTGCTGTACCTGGTCTTCGACTTCTCAAAGTCCTTCTTGTACTACTCCCTGTTCTGGATCTTGGCCACATGCATGGACCACAACATTTTGGGGTCATCCTTGATGTCCCGGGCTCCAATGTGGTGGCCAAGCTGCTTGCGGTAACCATCTTTGTATTTGTACTGAGATGAAAATGGACAAATCAGGCTTTTATTGTAAACCCTTAGAGACCCTAAGACTGTACAAAATCATCTTGCTTACATTTCAGTTGTAAGTTGACTTTTGCTAATAAACACTAACTCAAGCCAGTATCCTGACCTTTACCCTAGAAGTTCAATAGAGGCAGTTCAATAGATGTAATCAGTATAATTGCAGTGTATGCCCTAAATCACTCATAGCCTAGTAATAAGAAATAGTTCTGGAGGCAAGACGTGCACACAGTAGGGAGAGGTTACCTGTGGAAGGGGGGAGAGGCATTTGAACCTTGGAGAAATGGATTTTATGTGCTAGCAGCATGTCAGGAAAGAGATGCACCTGGTGACATGGTGTGTTTAATGAGTAATGACATGACTGTCTGGTTCCTGCAAGGGTAGTACTATAGGTCAAGGGCTATCTGCAGTAGCAACTAGGAGAATTTATTATTTCATAATGGATCCATGCATTCTTTGGTGGTGGCAAATGTATGGCATCACTTTGAAAACTGATTATTCTAGTAAAGTTGTAGCAGGCCAACTGGGTAGAGTGTGCTCCTTACATGGGCCAAAAATGTTTTTATTATTCTATGTTCAATGGTTTTACCCTCAAATCTGAGCCAATTATCTAAAATACGAGAGGCCTGATGCACAAAAATTTGTGCATTCGGGAGGGGGGGTCCCTCAGCCCGTCCTGTGCCCTCTCGCATTCTGGGACCCCTTGGGGGTGTCCACCTGCTGGCTTAGGCCTGCTCCCCGGGAAATCAAGCCTAAGCTGGCAGTCAGACATCACTCTGGCAGCTCGGGAGCCCTCGGGGGATGTCCACTTGCCAGCCAGGAGCAGGCCTAAGCTGCAGTCAGACATCCTTAGTGCTGCTGAGGAGGCGGGAGAGGCTCCCACCACCACTGCTGTACTGGCAGCCGTCA